TGATAAAGATGAACAAGAAACTGAGAGAAATAAAATAAACTCAGAACGCATTGTCCATTTCCTATCGATTCTGTCTATCAGACTCTCTATATGAAAGCATTATGTTACCTTTTTAAAACAGTAACTCAACATTGACTCTCTCTCTCCATTTGTAGTCTAATGTTTCGATAGAAACTATCCTTTTGCACTCTCATTGGTAAACATCAACCTTAATCATGAAAGTATCATCATCAATGATCAATAAGGTTTATCTTTCTTTGGTGTCAAACATTTGCCTTTGCGAACTGAATTTCATCTCAATTCAGGTGAATAAGCTTAAACTAAAGTCACAAGGTTTAGACCTTTCAAATAATAACTTTGCATTTCAGTATTGCCTTCAATTGGAATTGATAATTTTGAGTCAATTTTTTGCACCAATAAATGCAAGATGGATAATGATTGGCATTCAAGTTGAAATGTTGATTCAAATGTCAGTGGAAATTGTATTAAAATCAAATCAACTCGTGTCATAATCGATTAACCATCAATAACATTGAAAGCTGTGAGCATCATAACTCAATGTTTAATGTAATTTGAAGGCGACTTTGAAACTTGCCTGCAGGTTGACAACAGTTGAACAGTTTCCAAGTATCATGACAATTATTGGTAAAATTAAGTTGATTGGCAGTCAATTAGAAGCTCAACTTTGCTCAAGTTACGTTCAGATTGAGTACAATTTAAGGTTATCTGTTCACTGAACAAACCTGCTAAATATCATTTCAATTGTAATGATAATCAGAAAAAGGAGAGAGAAAAAAAAGTGAAACGGAAATTGGTGCAAATTGACTTTACAACAAACACTGAACAAATTGAATTAGATGAGTTGAAATAATCAATTATTCATTATTTCAATATTTCCATGAGCAGCAAAGGTTATCCTTTGATAACAATAAAAGATGAGCAACAAAAATCGATATTCAATTATTCCTAAATTGCATTAATGATGAAAACAAAAGTTAAACAAAATTGTATGAAATTAACAATTTCAATGAAACATTGAAAAGCTATTCAATTCATTTCATGTAAAAATGAAATGAAATTATTGATTAAAGCTGATTGTTGAACATTTCAAGAGGAAAAAATCTGAAGGAAAAACAAAAAAAGTGATTAATGAAGTAAAGGAACCAGAAAATGCAAGATATTGTTCAGGTAAATGATGTCTAAAAGTGATTCTTTCATTATGACAATTGTGATTCAAGATGATTTTCCCTGATTATGTGAGATGAATTCTGGAAGAAGGATTCCTGGGATTCATTCCATGTATACAACTCAATTAAGAACAATTGTTATCATGAAACCAGATGAGAGATTCAAGATGTAATCAAAATAGACGAGATACTTGAGGTGGAAACAGAAAAAATGTGAAAAGTTCAATTGAACCTCTTTTTGGTTTCATTGGTTAATTGCTGTTATAGCAACCCAATTGACTGTCATTGTCTTGATCAACAATCACTTTGATAACAAGGTAACTGACTAATTATTAACCATACTTTGGGTTGAACAATCTTCAAATTGGTCCATTAACAATGATAAAGTCAACAAATGATTATGATTGCTTGGTTAAATTGTAAACTGTAAATACAACAATACAGTTTTGAGTAAATTATGATTTGCAAAAGTCAACATTATTATGATAATAGAGCAACGATATTGTTTTTGATAAACGTTAGCATTTGTTTAAACCACCAAAAAATTATTTAAATCAATGTTCAAATAAGATGGTTAAACAATGTTTTCAGTTGCAACTGAATAATAATGAGATAACAAAATGGGTTCTCATCATGAGTCCAAACATTAAGATTAATGGTCATCTCATAACAATGTTTCTAATTAAGCAACATAATTGATATTGACTGATGGTTATGATGGTCATCTTATTTTTCATCTTTAAATGTTGCTCCATTAATGAAATAATTAATTGATTGATTGATCCAATTAACCAAGACTAATGAACGACTAGATTTAATCTGTTACTTTGATCAGATAAATGATTTGCTTCATTACTAATCAACATCTAAAAGTGTAAAGTTGAAACCCATTTTTCAATTAAACTTTTTCATTTGCATTTTCAATCTTTTTCCCAGAAACTAATCAGAACAAAAATGAAAATATGAAAAGTGAAAATGAATATACTTTTGAAATTGCCTGAAGCACAACTTTTCCAGTTTCTTGCAATTTGATATTAAAAGTTTATCTTTGAAATGAATTCATTAACTGAATACTGTTTTAAAGGTCAACATTGAAATTGGAGAAAAAATGAGTTTGGGAAAAGGAAGAAAAAAGTTGGGAATAAATGATGATAATGATACTGATAGTGAATCAATTGAAATGGTGATAACTGGGAGTATGAATTATCATTACTATTATCATCATGTATTATGTACTATAAGGAATGTTTGGATGAAAGGAAGAAACGGTATTTTCTGTGAATATCCTTTTTATATGGTTAGTTTATTGGTCATATATTAAAGGGTGGAGGTGTTTAAGACATCAATGAGTATAAAAGGTTCCTTTCAAGATAATCATCATGTAAAAAGATGTAGGAAAGGGATGAAAGATGATGAGAATAATGATGAACAAGGAGAAGAAGTAAGAAGTAAATGAAGAGAAGAGGAAAGATATTGATTTTATCATCAAGTCTTTTACCATTTTCCTTTATCATCATCCTCTTGGTCTTCATCATTCTCATCTTCATCTTTTTTCTCTTCCCTGTATTTTCCTTTCGTCACTTTTTCTTTTCTTTATTATAACTGTTTACATCTTTGTCTTCATCTTATCTTTTTCCTCCTTCCCTGCCTTTCCTTGTAGCATCTTTTTATCAGGTTGCCTGTGAAACAAAAATATGTCAAAGGTTTGGCTTTACTCTCTTCATACCTTTTTTTTATTTGGACCTTTGCTTCCTTCGTTTCCTCAGGCTATTATTATGAGAAAGGTGTTGAGTTAGCATGAATCGAGATGAGAGGTGGAAACATGAAAACAGAAGCTAGTTGATGCTAATTGTTCATTGGAATGTTTCACTTTTCTTTCGATTTTCTTTTCCATTTTTTTCGAACAAGTTTATCGGTTCTTGGGATTTTTTGCTATTTTCAGGGAGAAACATGAACTGTTTTTTAACCAGAAAATTGACTTATCTTTTGCAAAGTTGCGATTCATTTAGTGTTCAACATTTTTCCAGAATCTTTGTTCTGAATGTTAAGTTGAATGGTTGATTTACAGTGAAAGTAAATTAAGATGAAAACAATTGATTTTTTAGAGAAAAGTGATTTTCGATTTTGAATTTTAAATTTTTTTCTATTCGTTTCAATATTCTTGTCCTGAGGTTTGCTAATTCAGGTTTCCTAATGAATATTTAGACGATTTGAAAATAGATTCAGAAATTTTAAAATTTTCAGTTGCTTGTGATTTGGAGTTTCAGAATTGATAAAAATGTTTATTCTTTCAGTAAAATTGAGACTTTTTCACTTGAATCTGTGTGCATAAACTTTCCCTGTAAATCAAATTTACTTCAAGTTGAATGAAATTATGGAACATTTTTTTCCGAATATTATAATTTTCTGAATTATTTATCGACTAAAAGCCATTCCATTTTATAGATGAAAGTTATCGAGTTTTCAATTTTACGGTTCAATAGAGAAGCTAATTCTGTGACTATTTTAAGATGCTTTTAAATACCATTTTATCGTCAATTTAGAGTTTCATTAATTCAGTTGTTTTAGTTGCAATGGTTAATGATATGAGTAAAAATATGAGTGACAATAATTGATTGACTTTAACAGCATTTTTGCTAATCTTTTTTTTTGAACAACAACATTTTCCATTCTCTCGGTTTTCGGTGAAAGTGGATAGTCTGTGTGTGAGTTCATTGTGAAACTTTAACTTTCATGTTGGTTTCAGCTCGTCAATCATGATTACAATTTGTTGTCAGACTGAATGACGTTCAACTAACTTCCCAACAGGAATCCTAATCACAATTAGAGTGAATGAGCCAAGGTAAGAAGGGAAAAAAGGGCCAAAAAAAGGTAAACCCATTAGATGATGATAAAAGTGAACAAAGGCAAGATATTAGTCAATCTTTGGTTTACCTTTTCATCTGCATCTTTCATTAACTCATTCATTTCCTTTCCTGTGATTTTTTAAGTTTCACTTGTCTCAACATTACCAATACATGATGATAAATGATTGTGACTATCATGAACAATGAACAGAGAAAAATGTTCAATCTTCTGATTGTTAATGTTCTGAGACAATAATTTTGGCTCTTTTTGATCAACTGATGAGAGTAAATTTAATTAAAGACAATCATTAAAAGAGGAAAATTTTGTGACCAAAAATAATCAGAAAAAATGGAAAAAAGGAAAAAAGGAAAAGATCGAAATGTTGAATTGATATAAAAATGGGAAACTTGGTTGTGATATTAATTTATAAAGATGAACTTTTGTTGTTGAATAATAATGAAATACATTTCATGATATCATGAAGAGAAAAGAGGAAAGGGAATGAAAATCGTTACTATCTTTATAAAAAGCAAGTTCAATATCTAATGTAATTCTTGACTTGCCGATTTTATATTTTCACCAACACGCAAACTCTTCTCTTCAATTCTTTACTCCGTTGATTCCCTGACTTTTTCAGCGTTACTCTCATATTTTTCCTTCCCTTTCATCATGATTCTCTTTCCTGACTCATCTCAATGTCATGACTATATATATATAAATATATTTTTGTGTGTAAACTTTGCTCAATAAAAGTATGAACAAAAAAGCAACAAGAACCAAAGTCAAACCCTAAGCCAATCAATGAATCCAAATGATAACCATTTTCACTTTGCATCAATAAAACTTGTCTCTGAACAGAATCAATGGAATCACAATCAATGTTTCGTCTGATTCTTGTTCCTTCAGAATAGCAAATTGATTGAAGAAAAGCACCAAAAGCAAAAATAACAGAAGAAATCTCTTTACCTTTCCAGTAGCATTTGAAAACATCTTTACTGAAGCAACACCCATGTTACAACGAATCCCAAAGCTAATTACAAATCCAATAGAGGTTAGGACGGCGATAGTATAACGCTTGGATAGGTTACAGCATGGACATTCTGGTTCAAAGTAACGGGATAATCCGGTTCTCTCACCGATAATGGTGTCCATTCGGGTGGGAAACTTTCGGTTAAAATTTCGTACTTTGTCATCTTCTTGTTCCTGAAGTTTACTGTAAACCCATTGGTTGGATCACAATTAATGGAGTGATAAAGTTCACAGTTAACACACATGATCAAGTAGAGTACAGATTTTTGTCAGATGAAACAAAAGGAAAAGGTAAAACATCACAAAGTAAAAATAAATCCAAAGCCCAATGGGAAAGTGGAACCAGAAAAAAAATGATGAAAAACCATCAACGTAAAAGTTTTTGTTTGTTGTTCATGTTGATGTTGATGTATTTTGTTTACAATCAGAATGTAACAAAAGTCAATAGATGATGATGATGTTCATGGTAAAGGTAAAGGTAGAGAGAGAAAAAGAAAATGCACAAAAAGAAAATGAAAAATTGGATTATTTAGTTATTTTGGGTTGAAAAGGTATGGAAAAGGATGAAAACAAAATGTGAAAATGTCAACATTTTGTTTTGCTGTTGGCGACTCATTTTTTTCATTATTTTAAAATTTACTTTTACTCATTAGTTTCATGATACATTACTTTAATTGATTCAACTTGGAAATATTATTTTCCAGGTTTCACCGAGTTTCTCATTTGCTAGATTAACATTGAAACTCTTAACCTTTACATTTTCCTTGTTTCTGGAGAAGACTCATCTTTTCATAAAAACTGACCTTTTGTTGTTTATTAGTCCATCTTGTTTGAACATTTTTACATTTCTGTGTTTTAATAATGAAACAATTTACATTCATTAATGGTCCTCATTAATGGTAATATTAAGAGTAATTTTGGGTAGATTCAAGTAGAGGTAAAAATTTAATTGTAATGAGTTTTTGCCTGATTGTATCAACAAAGAGTAAGATTTTAGTTATGATTTCCCTTGATATATGAATAATACTTCTCCAGGTTAGGAAGATTTCTGGTTATTTGTGTTTTCATTGTGAAAATTGATCAATAAGTGAAATCGGTTAATTGATTACTTACCCTATTAAGTCGGGAGGATTTGCTGATGGTTGACTTTTAAGGGTTGGAAGTTCATAGTTTTCATCCTCTTCAGCGACAAAATCAGTTAATCGTCTGAGAGTAGAGAGTAAAAAAGGCAAATTGTTGTGAAAAAATGGTTAAAATTGAAAAAAAATGTCAACTTGAAAGGAAGAAAAAAATATCTCTAAAAAATGGCGGATCGAAATTGTACTTACTCTGATTTGTCTCGTTGGCGAAACAGGCGAAGTTGATCTTTTGCCGAAGTAAATACAGCCCCAAGGTCAAAACCCAAGACCTTTTTGGGCGGCTCTTCCCCTTCAGGATCCAGCTCGAAGTATCCGTTTGGTTGAACGTGATTAGCACAATAAAAGGGTTAACTCAATCCGTAATGTTACTCCTTTGGTGGTGCAAATTATTTTCACCTTACAATGGTTGGTCTTTTTATTTTGGCTGATCACTTTGTTTTGTTTTCAACAATACAAGTAATATAAATCCAACGGGACAACAACAATAAGAAAAACAAGGTAAATTGTTATGTTTTGTTTAAAAAAATAGCCTCCAAATGAAAACCGTTGGTTATACTTTTCTTGGTGAACTCTGAGTATTTGAGAAGCTTTGTCTTCACTTTTCCTTGTTAACCACAATTTTCGGATTGGTTAAAGTTGATGTTTTATAGATGTTTAAACAATTTATTAACAAACTAACCTTTAAATTGTTGTTTAACTTAACTTTTAATTTTTTTCTCCGTCTTTTTTACACTCGAAAAAGAGGCTTTAAAGATGATTAAAGGTGATTTTGACTTTTAGTCACTCATAAAAACAAGAAGCAAATAAACTGTATCCAACTACATTAAATCATTGTGAAAAGGTTTCTTAGTTGGTTCCTTGGTTGGACAGTAAAAGGCAAAACAAGGAATAGTTTTGTAGATAGAAGGAAAAAGAAAGACAGAGAAAGGGGTGAAATGGGAGGGAGTATTGAATATCATGAACCATTCAGAAATATAGTTTCACTTGTTCCGTTAGTTTAGTTTTTACTGAACAATCGTTTTTCATTTCAAATTGTTACCCCGAACATTTTATCAGCTGCCATCTCGCGGTATAAAAAGACACCATCTAGGTATCAAAAAGGGTCAAAGCCTTTGACTCAAAGGATGTTGAAATAATCAGATATCGAGACCAGCAATAAGGCCTAAGCTTAACTAGTTTTGAGACTCGGAAAGTGGATAAAAATGACGGATATTTGAAGTCTTTTTATCGTAAATTGACTTCTATCTCAAAGTACATTTAAAAAAATAATAAATCACAAATCACAATTCTATCATTTTATTCAATTGTAATTCAATTGTTGAATGATGGCAAGTCCAAGTATTCATAACAGTTCAATGGATTTTTCTATAGCTAATAACCTGAACTTGGAGTGTCAATAATTAGTTTGGTCGAAAATGAGGCAAAATTTCAGTTTTGAAATCTCGTTGGAAATTAATCTTGAGTGTGAAGATATGAAATAACACAAGAAATTCATCAGATTCGAAACTGTTAAATATTTCTTGAAATATTCTGTTCAAAAGTGGCGCCTTTATTGGAGAAGTGTAACAGAGTTAAGCCTTGCATGTTTTGTTATACAGTTTGTAGCAGTTTGATTTTAAAATTGTTATTTTATGATTTGTTAATCATGGCTGATTGTCCCGGATCTTCAACTGTGGAGACTATACAAAGCTTGGTGAGATTAAGATATAAATCGATAAATATCTAAATGCAATGGATTAACTGTTTACTGAAATGTTTTGACAATATGAAAATGCTTTCTGTATACAAGCGATCAAGATGGCAACACTGGATGTCTGGTTTGTTTGTCATTGGTCTGGTAACAGCAAAAGAGGATGACAGACGCTTTAAAGTTTTAATTGTTTAGCTGTTGTGAAAATTTCAATTTGACTCATGGATTCATGAAGATCAGTTGAACGCATCCGCTTGTATCATCGATATCAAATCGACTTCAAATATCGATAAATATCGATTGTTTCGATTAATCGATCATCACAGTTCTCTTTAAGTTGAATTTGTTAGTAAGTTAAAGTGTTTAACTACGAGTAACTCCTAGTAACTTACTCGTAACGAGAATTCCTGATTCGTTGAAACCAAGTAGCCCATCTTTTTATTGTGTATACACCATGTCTTCTCAGCAAGGTTATTTAACTGATGAAAAATGTTTCATCGTTTCCCTTCCTTTGAACGCAATCCAATGGTCGCCTGATTACAAAGGGATATCTAATTTTCAAATCCGTGTGATACCGATTGAATCCAGATCAAATGATGGAGATAATTCAATTCACTTTCAAGTTTCTGTTTTGAATGAAAAAAAGTCCATCTTCGTCTCTCAACCGGAAAATGGTGTTGAATATTCAAATGATTATTTCATGTTCAAGACGATTTCCAAAAATGAACTTAAAGGAGTCAAAATTGAATTCTTATTTTCAGACTCATCTCAAGTTCATCATCCTCCTGTTTCTTCGTTCACCTTTTTCGAAGCTAAATCTCCTGGAATTCTCCATTCTCCAATTATTGATGCTGAATTGAAAGCTCTTGGACAAATCAAAGTTCATTATTTAATTGTCAAACCATATCCATTCAATCAACCTGATGGATTGTGTACAAATATGCACAATTACCTTAAAAAAGGTTTACATGTTGGTCATCGTGGAGCTGGTGTTACCAGAAGAGTAGATCTATCCGACAACATTCTTGAGAACACTATTCTGTCTTTAAACCATGCTGTCAAACATGGTGCCGATATGGTTGAATTTGATGTTCATCTTTCCAAAGATGATATTCCCATTCTATATCATGATTTCTCCGTTTATGTCGAGTTGACAAAGAAAGGCTCGACTGACAATGAAACCCTTGAACTACCAGTTAAAGATTTAACTTATCGTCAACTTAAAATATTGAAGCTTGGTCCAAAACGAAAGAGTGAAACGCCTTTTCAATTTGCTGACGATTCTGAAGACAATCAACCCTTTTGTAAACTAGAACATGCATTGAATACCGTAAGCCCGTGTGCCTTCAATGTTGAGATCAAATATCCTACAGGTTATGAATTTTACAAGGATCTGAACCATTTTGTTGATACCATCCTGAAGACTATTTTTGACCACCACAATAATCGAGATATTATCATTTCAAGCTTTGATCCTGATGTTTGTGCCATGTAAATATAATTTTCTATCACTTTATTGAATTTAACTTCATTTGACTAGATAATAATCCATTTCCCATGAATTAGGTACTTTATCAGATCTGGTAGATATCAATGCAAACCTATTTCATTCTGACATTGATTTTTTTACAATTCCCTCTTTAAATGTTATAAAAGTGTGTCATTAGTTATGAAGAGGTGGTTCAATTGCAGCACGACTTATCTCTAGCTATTATTAACTTTAATTATCCAACAACGAATATCATTGTTAACATTTCCTGGCTTTTCCTAACCGCCTATGTTACTATTTTCTCTAACAAATCAGCTTATTTAACTAATCATTTTTATTTACTCAATTATCAAAGCCCCATGAGTGTCTATAATTTTTTGCTTTCAACAGCATATTTTTTTACTTGAGTATTTTATCATTACACCAGTGTAATTAAATTAAATTTGTCTTTTTATTTCCAGGGTTGCATTGAAGCAAAAGAAATTTCCTGTTCTCTTCTTGACTTACACAGAAGATCGTAATGTTAAAATGACATCTGATATTGATGATCGAATGGACTCCATTGAAATGGCATGTTATTATTCATCAGCTATGAGCTTCTCTGGTATTAACTGCTATGCTCAAAATTTGATTTCCGACAAATCTTTAGTTCGATATGTTTTGAACAAAGATTTAATCTTGTTCTGCTATGGAGATCCAATTAATTGTACCTCGGTTGTTGAAGATTTGATCAAAGAAGGAGTTCATGGTGTTATTTACGATAAGATTGACATTATTTCACCAAAAAAGTTGCTTACCTCTGTAATCAACGCAGCTTCCCAAGACGGAGATACCAAAGAAGTGGTTGCCAGGAAAACATCAGCAACAATTGTTAGCATTAGCCACAGTCCATGATTGTTTTAGATAAATCGGTATTGAAGCGAAGAATTTGAAAATTCAATCTCTTCAGCTCATACTGTTTACATACTCAATTCGGAATTGAACTGTTATGCTAATTTTCTTAAGCAATAAGCTTCAAAATATTCAATAAGTTAAATAGATTCATCTTTTTGGTTTCCCTTTGTGTCCAAAAGACTTGTAATTCAAGCTTTCCTTAGCGTATTTTATAATATAAAATGCCATAGTTAATCTTCTCAGAGACAAGAAATATTTTTATACTAATATTTCTTCTAACAATTAATCTTCCCCTTATCAAATATACAACAATCAGTTTGTATGGGATCAATTCATTTTTCTGTTGCTCTTCTTGCTTACTCAGGAATGCTGTACAATTGTAGAACTAATAATAAAACTTCAATCACAATCAATATTGATTATTATTACTAAAGATTTATTTAACAAAAGTTTCCGTCATGTCAGTCATTTCTGGCGGTCACACCTACAGTTGTAGTTGATAATTTTTTCAATGTTATTAAGGCAATGGCAATCAATGAAAAAAAACAAATAGTATTGAATCAATTGAAAAGATCCAGTTTGACAATGGAAAGGTTCATATCAAAATGAAAGAACAACCTCTGAAAATGAGAACGAAAGGCTGAAATTTCTTCAGAATTTCATAATTTATCAATAAATGAATTGAAAAATATACGTACTTCGACTAATTATTCTAATCATCGATCAATACACAGGCCAATAGTGAAGCAAAAGAAGTGGTGACAATGATAGAATAGGACTTTGCTCATAGCTCTCAACTTCCATCAATTTTTTTATTCAGCATTTTTAGCGTTTTTTTCATCGTGATTTTGTTTCGGGAAGATTTTTCAATTTCTTAAAAGTAAGTGAGTCCATTTGTTGTTTTACATGTAAATTACAGATTAATTGTAGATTCTCTCTTATATGAATTAACTGTGAAATGCAGTTTAGTGAATTTAAGAGAAACTCTTTATAACATTTCTCATTGGTTAATATTAATTCTGCTTTTCAAAATTCACTTCATAACGGACATTTAAACATTGTCTTTTGAAAGGTTAATTACAACAAAGCTAGTCATTAGATTAAAATTGTTATTCGTTGATCAATGTTTTTGTTAGTTTTTCAATCCTAACTATATATGGTTACTTGCTTGCTCTGCTTTCTACACTCCTTTGGTATTAATTTTTCCTATTTTTCTCTTGGTTTTTCATCACCTTCCTGAACAGGTTTGTTGTTTACTCTCACAACATTGTCAGATGTTTTCCTTTCCTTTCCTGTGTTCCAATCAAAATTTTAAATTTTAAAATCTATATTGGTCATTGTGACTTAATTTAGATATTTTTTATACACAACCATCATTAACAATCAACTGCATCATTTTGGCCCATCAACTGTCAACATTACCCTTCAAGAATAATGTCTACGTTACCTAAATGTTTCCTTGATGTTTCTGCTGGTGGTAAACCCTTAGGAAGAATTGTGGTTGAGCTTAGATCAGACGTTGTTCCCAAAACAGTGGACAATTTTATTGGTCTTTGTACTCATCGTCCTGGATATGGTTACAAGAAAACCCGATTTAACCGAGTTATACCCGGCTTTATGATACAAGGAGGAAAAATATCCGAAGATGAATCAAAACAATCCATCTATGGAGGAAGATTTGAGGATGAAAATTTTGAGCTAAATCATGTTGAACCAGGAATTCTTTCTATGGCCAACAGAGGACCAAATACAAATGGGTCATCTTTCTTCATAACAACCTCTGTCACTGATTGGCTTGATGGTAAGCATGTTGTCTTCGGTAAAGTGATCGAGGGAATGAAAATAGTCAAAGCTATTGAAGCTCTCGGCACAGAGTCTGGGTCTACTGAGGTGGATATTGTCATTGAAGATTGTGGCCAATTAAAGTAAATAATTTCAAATAATAGTCATGTTTTCTTCGATTTTATTTCGGTCGGTTTTATTTTACTTTTACTTGTCGTCATCTAACCTTATATTGTATTGAATTATTTCATGGATTATTGTTTCTTTTGGTCTTTTATTTGGTCAAGTCAAATGTAATTTTAAGATTGGCGTACTTGCTTACAGATAGTTGGTATTAAATAAAATACACTGATTCATCTCCACTGCGAATGAATTCAATTCAAAAAATTGGTCCGGTCAGAAATGCTGAAATAAACTGTAATTAAAATAGAAATAAAATTCATGGTTCTATTTTGTATGCGACTTACTTAATTGATTGAAAATTTTAATAACCTAATTGATGACTGTTTTACATCATCTTGAGCTATAGGTAGATTCTTAGTTCAAAAAATCAGATAAAGCTCTAAATTCAAGAATTCGGATTTACTTTAGTCATAATTTTTCACCGGTCTTATGTTGCTTTGTTTTTTTTGTAGAATTTCAATGGAATAGAATATAAAATATCCTAACAATTTGCCTCGACGAAATGAGGCACTTTTAGGTAATAACAATTGCATGTTTTTGTTTCCTTGGTGCTTTTTTATGTTTGCTTTTTTAATTTCACCAATTTTTTATTCCACCGAGTTTTGATTTATCTATGCAAAATTAGTTTTTAAATAAAATGATGTGAAGATTCAAATAACATTGCGGTGAGGATTGAATAATAGTATATTCTGAGAGTTGAAATTGATTCCCGATGATTTATAAACTATTGACCATACATAGGGAATGAAAAACTCCTCCGGTTGATCATCTTCCACGTATCTGAATTTTAATTCAGGAAATTTCTGTGAATAAAAATATAATTGATTAGAAATTGATGAGTATAAATAATTCACACTACTTACCTTCATTTTATCTGCTGGCCATTGAAGAGAACAGTTTTGAATGATTTCGTACACTTGAGCGACTGAAGTATTTGAATCCTCAGCAGCAGCGATTCGATTAGAAAAGTATGTTAGTACTGTATCGAAGTTCATAATAATATCTTGAAATGAAGGATGACTTTGGAAAGGTTCAAATACGTGACGATTGTATAGCAAAGTATAAACCAAGTTAGGATTGTGAATTAATTGGGAGGAAAGAGTGGAATTCATTATTTCCAACAGCATGCGAAGAACTTCTTCGTAAATGGATGTATCTTGTGTTGGATCTAATGGCCCGACTGTTGAGGCCACATCAGTATCTTTATCAGACAACTTTTCCCCCGAGTCTCCTCCATTTCCATTGATGGCATTCTGACTATTCAATATCTTATGCAACTTTTTTGATATTTTTTCAAACAATGTTACCAATCGTTGACATACATATGGGCTTAATCTTCGAAAATGATTGGACATATTAGCTAAAGTTGCCAATAAATTAGTATGCAAGAATTTATCCTGAAAACGAAAGAAATAACATAAATATTAAAAATTTGATGAAAAATGTGAAATGCTTATCTAATGACAGCACTTCCAAAAAATAGTCCTGGATATTAAGGATGTGCTATCATTAGCAAGATTCCAGCCATATCAATTCAATTTACCCTTGTCCTAGAAATGTTATACTGAACTGTTCGGATGATCATCAGAATAATTAAACCGCCCAAACTAATCTCAGGCAAAGTTCGTTCTGAGTACCAAGTTATGTTCTTAAGAGTCTGAAATAGAAGAAAAAGAAATTTAGATGTCGTCAGCAATAATAAAGAGTTGATGACACTATCTTTTGTTGAATTATATCTACAGTAATCATTATTGGTAGACAAGGTAACATCATTAACAGCAATAAATTATTTGTTGCAAATCATTAATTTTTAAAGTAAAATTTTTGTACCGTCTATAAAGTTAATAGCTTGTCTGTTTCAATTTTGATTTAGATGTATAAATGTATAAGAAGCCACTTACAATATCATGAATTGACTCATTGAAAAGTGCGTCTTCACTAAGTATGAGAAGGATGATGACGGCCATATAAATGTGGTGAGACGTTTTTTCACCGGAATGGTATAGAATTTTCAATATAGGAATAGTCAGATCATCAAGCTGTGATGTTCGGCTGATAAGGAAGGCTCGGAAAGAGGGATTTTTGTAAAGGAGTAAATAAAGAATAAGTGTTGACTGATCCTCGTTTTGAGTTGCACAAAGGGTGGAGAAAAGTTGATTAAAGTTCATTTTGAAACCAGAAACCAAACCAGCAACACCAATACTATCAACTTGGAGATCACAGCAATTGAAAAGTGCTTCACGATAAGGATTAGAGTCAGTGGTGCAATGATAAGTTAGAACTAATAATAAAAATAAACTTAATTTAGATAGAACAGGTTTCAGAGTTTCATCGTTGTTGTTTTTGCCATAACCTAAAGTTAAGGCACTCCATAAACCCGAAGCCAGATCCAAAATGACGGAACCACCATCTTCTCGAGGAGGTAGATCTTGTCGGATGAAATTATTAATAAGACACTTTGTTAATAATAGAGAATGAATTGCACATTTCTTCATGATGCATCTGTAAATAACCGATTTGCTAGCTGGTTTAACTGAGTACATCTGAACGGACAAGAGAACCAGCAATAAATTAATGCACTCGCAATGAAGGGCATATGTAGAGTCACTATTAGAAATGGTAGAAAGAAATAATAAGTAAAAATTGCATATTGAACAGTATGGACATTAATACCTTAACGGAATGTCCACTAATACAGAAACCAAGTTATTAATGAGAGACTCCATAACCTCAACTCCGGTCTCATTTCCCTCTTTTCCATCTTTTCTAGCCAAGAAGTGTTTTAAAACATTTTCCTCTGTGAGCGTTTGAACTAAGTGCTTGGCACAACACCTAATGACAAACATTGAATTGAAAGTTTGACATATAATAATGTTTTGACTAGAAGAGAAGAAAATAAAAATAAATTAGTTTGGATCAGTGGATCAGTCAAAGTTTCAGTTGATTAGGACAACAGTTGTTGATTTGATGTGATTTTGAGGACGACAGATTGATAGTGTCAATCCAAATGTTTAGGCCATCATGTTCAACAGAAAACATAAAGGGTCTGTAGATATTAGTTATACTGTTACAAGTTTTTACCTTGCCTCTTTGTTGAGTTCATCTTTTAAAGCAGCTGATTTGCTAATGAATATTTTAACCAGCGAACCAAGGTTGTTAGAATTTAAATTATGACTTAATAAAGAGTTTAATAGTGGTGAAACTGAATCCTCCAAAACTCTCGTCTCTTCTCTGTGGTGATAGGAAGAAAAGAAAAAAAGAATTAATGAGTCATCATATTGAATGAGCTTAGAAAATGAAGTACACGTACAAGGTTCGAATTGATTTAGTGAATGAGAAGCTAAGCATCTCGTTCCAAAAGGAATCCCCAACAGGTATATGTTGATTGGAAGCAAATTTGTTGAGATGTTCATTGCTTTTTAGGTTATTCAATGCACTGTTTGTAATGCCCATCAGTTAAAATATAAGAGTGACACGAAAAGACGGTAATAGCAATCGTTGAAAAGACTCTTATGTAGTTGGTTACACAGATAAATCTGTGTAATGTAAAAGGGTTGTCACAAGTTGGAAAGTATTATTTCCGATTACAGCTGGAAGAGCAGTCAAAAATCCTAATCCAGACGAAATAAATAAGATGATGGATGGTCCAGATGAGAAGAATTACATCAAATATTATTGTTATATAAGGTCCAACACAATGACCAAATTGTAGGTTTCAAGCAAATGACAAACCTTGTGGTAAAAATGGTTGCATACAAAAGATCAATTAAAAAATTGGATGGACAACAGGGCTACAAATTAATTTAAATTAAATTAGATAATGTAATGTTAGGTCTTGAAAAAAAAGAAACATACCAGATGGAACAGGTGAGAGAGTGAAAAAGATAGACAGAGAAAGCGACAGAGAGAAAAGAGAGAAAGAGACTAGAAAAGGAAACGTCATCGCATTGGAAAATAATCAGCAAAGAGAAAGTAAAGATAAAACTATACAATTTACAATCAAACCGGCTTAAACAAATTACACTGAATTAATCAATGATGGTACCAAAATAAACACTTCATTACTCTAAAGGTACATGCTTATTACAAAGTAAATATTATCATGAATTATCAATCATTAAAAATAATTATTGTAAAACAATTAAATTAATTTTCCTTGTGACTAATTATCCAGAAAAATAATACAGACAGTCATATAATGTGTGTTTATAATTTGTAAATTTTAATTGTTTGTCATTAGTAAATTAGGTTTAAAAAATTTGAATTTACCTCTCATTTATTTAAAAGAAGTCATTGGTCAGAATCAAACCCAAGCGTTTGCTGTTTGTTTCTCTCTGATCATGCAGTTTCAATGGGACTTTAAATGTGATGATTCCTGTCATTTCTGGGATTCGCTTTAGGAGTTAAGGATTAAATGTTTAGGATTATTATAAAGTGTCTATGATTGGTTGATCAGCTGAGATGCGAATCATCAAGCAAGATAATCGTAACTTTAATCTGGATTTTGATGACTTCGATTGTTGGCTTACATTTGCAACATTTTTATTTAGCAACAGCTAAAATCGTCGTTCTCCTCATCGCCAATAATATCTTCCGAACTAGGAAATGAATTAACTGACAACTTAAATGATTCTTAACCGAAATTTTCATTCATTATTCTTATAAATCTCAATCATAACCTGATGTTTTGGTGCTTTTTGTGAACCAACTCTAAACCAGATGAACCCAATTTCCCAAAGATTTTGACCAACCAACCTTTACCAGATTATGACAAGTTTTGGAGCAACTGGTTCTCAAGTTCCTGGTTTAAAGAAATGTTAAGATTGATGTTAAATCCTCGCATCTCCTCGCCTACCAAAATCCCTTCTTAGTCAGTATAACGGCGATTTCAATTGTTACCAGTTAATCATGAACAGCCAGTGTAAATCTCAATAACATCGCTCAACTTCTTCGAGAATCTCTACCAAGAAGCAACTATTAATGTTTATGTTTACCCAATTTTGATGATTCTTCACGTTTTAATTCAGGATTTCCCTGTTGACGCTCATGATCAAATTTCTGAGTCACTTTTGAATCATTTAACTGTTAATAGCTAAATTTGGAAGTAAATTTTGAAACATTTGGCAATAAGATACCTTTTTATGGTTAAATCTTATGAGTTGAGTCTTAATTTGTCGCTTGATTCTATTCGAGCTTCCGTTTGTCTTCTAATCATTTGTTCTCGATATTTTAACGTTTTAACTTTTCAATATAATTGAAGTGAGCTCAAGTAATTATTGTCAGTGATTATTACCATTTAAACGTATTTTAATCAAAATAATGTCAACGCCAATCAAAACATTATTTCTAGCAAGGGTTAACCAAAAGTAACATTTCTTGAAGATACATGCGAAACATTGAAGAGCCCTTAAGTGATGATTGCTATTATTTAATGGAGATGATAATGGTAATGATGATCGGTGCAGGCAACATAATTTTACTTTTGTTACCCCTTAATTTTACAATTAATGAAAACAATTACCTTAATCATTTCTTCCTTCCTGCCTTGTTACCTAAAAGCAAGTTACTGTCAACTTAATCGATTGTGATTCTTGCAATCAATATGCTTTCATTAATTGACTGTGGAATTGGAAATGAGTGGGAAAAAAGGACAGAAAAGCATATCCAAGGAAGGAACAATTTGTTTAGTTGAATTAAATTATAATTTAAAGATAGTTTTATAGCAACAAATAAAATGAAATCAACATGAAACGTTATCTCTTTCAAATGTTGAATTGGTTTTCGTTATTTGTATGCCTACTCGTCTGTACCGAAAACAGTTTACATGTCTGTTGTCAATATATCAATTAGAAGCGACAAAACGAACAAATGAACCAAATCGATGTATAAACGGTTATCAGTGACAATCGCAAGTTTCAGTTTTGGTTAACATTTCAGCGAGTAACATACAAATTGGTAGACAAGACTTTATGCTATTGGGGAGACAAAAGGAGTGAATAACACTTTGACTCATCTTTCTTTGTATTTTACTTTTCTTCTTTGTAAACATTTGCAAATAAATATCTTTGTTATTGAATAGTGTCCATTTCGGATTAATTATTGACTATTGTGTTGATCACCGGAATATCAAATTAATATGCTGGTGAACTCTGTATCCATAAAGATTGGATACCTTCTGTTAATTTCCTTCAATGGCTATCTGGTTAATGGTGAAAAAGGTGGTGCCAATATTGTTATCCAAGGTAAATCAGAAGGCTCTGGTGGAGGCCAAGTGATTGTAAATGCACCCAAAAAGGGTCCTCAAAATATTGTGGTTCGTGATTATGGAGGAACCGTTGTGTTAAATAGCCATAAGAAAGGTGGAGCTAACATTGTGATTAACAGCCATGGTGAGAAGAAACCTCATCATAGTCACCATCATGCACCTCATCATCACCATGCTCTTCATGATTATGAATCGCCAAAAATGATGCCCATGTTAGGTGAAGCTGGTTCATCATCATCGGCTATTCCAGCTTTTGGTACAAGAACAGTTAAACCTTATGACTCGGAGGAAGTGGCAGAAGAACCCACTCCAGCTGTGACAAGAAAACGAAAAGGAAATAAATCAAGGAAGCTTAAGAAAAAGGCAAAAGTTGTTCAAGAACAAAGTGAATCTGAAGAAGTTGTAAGACCCAAGATTCGTGGTCGATCAAAAGGTGACTCTGAGTCGGAGACTGAAACTGGATCCGAAGATGATTCTCAATCAGATGCCTATTCACCTTCAGTTGCTGAAGAGGACCCATACGCTAATTACCGTGACGGACCTGGACCTATTCCTCAATCAGATAGAAAAGGATTAAGAGAGTTGGAGAAAGGTGTTGAATATGGAGTCGAAGCACAAGTAGAACAACAAATTGAAGAGCAAATTGCCCAAGGTTTACTTGGACAGTTGCCTGATGACGAATCATCTGACTCTGGATCACCGGCATCATCTTCTGGCTCTTCTGGTTCCTCCCCAGGATCATCTTCAGGTTCATCTTCTGGTGATACATTTGGTTTCGCTGGTGACTCTGGATCCGACTCTGGATCTGACTCTCCTGGCTATTTTGCATCTTCATTCCCATCCAGTGACCCTTTCAATTCGGACGCTTTGAAAGGACTCTCTTTAAGTGACGCTCTTTTTGGTTCTGACAAGGATTCTGGTTCTTCAGACTCGGGGTTAATGGATTTACCTTGGTCAAGAAAGTGATTCGTACAAAATGGAAACTACAAATCTTTAAATAAATAGCTGCTCATCATTGCTCAAGATCCAATTCGAGTTCGGGTTCGAGTTCAGGCTCTTTTCAATCTTTACTCATACTTTTCTTCTCATCTTTTACATTAATTTCAATCATTTCTGCTTTGAATCGTTTCTCACTATCCATTTTCAATTCATTTTTAGCTATTCTGGACAATTCTTTTCTTCTAATGAAGTGCTCCACCTGAAATGGGGATAATTAAGATGTGCAAGCTTTAAAAGCAATCAAGTCGGAGATGGTAATGATGAGGAACGGAGAGGCAACACCATATATGACAACAAAAATTAGCATCATCAACAAAGAAAATAAAAGTGCAAGAATCAGGCTACCAAACCATTACAATCTAATCATCATGAGAAATTGAACTAATCAGCATCATCATTCTAAATGTAAATAAAAGATATTCAACATTCATCAAGTAGACGGCATGAAAGCTCAAAACAATGCAAAAACAAAGCGAAAACAAAAAGCAATACAACCCTATCAATATAATTAACCTTAATTTTCATCTCGTGTACGGTGTTTGCGCTAAAAATACCCTTCACTTGATTTATTGAAAACAATCAATAATATCGCTCAATTTTCACCACACAAAATATATTTTAATGCCAAAATAAAGTTAAACATTGGACATTATTTTAATAAAAATGACCAAAAACAGAGTGTTAATGTAATTTTCCAGTTTATTTAAATAAACAAATATTCTTGAATTTCAAAGCCTTTCCTTGATTTATCAATTTAATTTACTAATTGCTTCCGACGAAGATTACCGTTAACCATTTTCCGTGAATTATCATTAATGTTATTAACGGCTTTCCAATTAATTACAACATTAATATTGTTAACTTTTACGATAATTTGGTCTTACTTTATTCAATTGTCTTTAACTCTTGTTAGCAACAGTTACGTTTAATAATGGTTCATTGAAGAGAAAAGACTGAAATTAATACTTAAAAATAAACTAAATTGTTCCCTAATTGGGAAACTTAAAAACATTGCAACGAAATTCACTCGTTACAACGAGTCTCTTTTGCACCTCATTTACTAAACATTACAATTATTTCAGTCTCTCAAGTTAACAATCTTCAAATTGAATATTTGGGAATCTTGATCAATCACATTGAACAATCAATTGACTAATGAAATTGTAGCAACTAAATCAGTCCAAAAAGTATAAAAGCTTTGAGTTAAACAATGTTTATTATTATACTGAGGTGTTCCATAAATACAACATGGTTTAAAGCGTTAACACATTCATTAACAAATTGGTAAAATACTGTAAGAAAAATACGCAAAAACGGGTGATAATTAACTTATTGCAAATTTAGATTCTGTTGCTTTGAACGTGCGATTTGAAAATGTCTAAGATGAACGGTTTTCTAGAAAATGGAGTTCGAAGTTGCAACTTCGATTGCTTTTTGTGCAGTTATGAAGGCAAGTTTTTGTATGAAACTCATTTCATTGATGTAACTATTAAAGATCAACCAGAAAATGTATTTATTTTGAGCAAACGAACTGTCGCTGTCGCAAATCTATCGCTTTCTAAGACCGGAAGAGTTAGCAAGCTGAAACTTATTATTGTGAATTGTAGGTTGTTGGTTTATAACATAGAATAACTATTTGTAACAATTTAACAACAGTTTTCTTTATTTTCGCCATTTGCCCAAAAACTTTGAGCTTCGATATTGCGGGAATGGCATCACCTAGAATCATCATTCTTTAACCAATTTAATTCATTACTAATCAAGAATCTAATTAAGTTTGATAAATTTTCATTAGTACATTTCATTGTGATATTTGGGCTGTAAATATGCGAAGAAACAACTAATTTAACAAAGCAAACTCATCTTAACCAATATCTTGGTAAATAAACCATTTTTCTGGTTAAAGTTGCAACCGAAATGCAAACAATGCTGCAAAAGGCTGGAACATACTAGTAAAGGGTTGAAACTTAGTGCGTTTGTAGAGACAGAAAAACTAGATACATTGGTGTTATTAAATAATCCGACCGATGGATAGTTTTCTAGGAAATTGAGGTCAAATTTGAAAATTTGATCGCCTTTTCTTCAGCTATGGAAGTAGATTTTTTCATGCTACTCACATTAAAGATGTAACTTTTGATATGCAATCAGAAAATGGTCTTATTTTGAGAAATAAAATTTTGCTTTTCTTTAAAACAAATCAAGTTCGATTTTTAGTTAAACTTGTCGCATTCTGTGACCGTAATATTGAGACAACTAAAACTTATGATTCGTTTATAAATTGTTATTACACATCTTGAGTTAATTACTTTTTTCAATTCAACGAATGGTTCTCTTGATTTTGGCCTTTAGTTTAAAAACTTTGGACCTCAATATTGTGAGAATGACATCATCTACGATCAACATTCTTCAGCTGATTACAAGACATTCGAATAGGTTATAATAAAATGTAAATTTTAAACCATTCTAGATTCTACGAAAAAAGTTATAGCATTTTATTAATTGCGTTGTCAGATTTTAGATTTAGTTTACATAGTTGCTTGGTTACCAAACGCAAATTTTATGCGTTAGAAGAATATTCCTCATTAAATGAATTAGATTAGATTTAATTGGTTACTTAATCAAATATTGTTATAGACCTTAATGAAATCTAATGTTCCAAGAAAGAATGAGGACTGTAGGTGATACCATTCTCGAAATATTGAGGTCCAAAGTTTTTAGACTAAAGGCCAAAATCAAGAGAACTATTGGTTGAATTGAAAGAAGCTTTGAACTCAAGATGTGTAATAATAATTTATAAACGAATCATAAATTTTAGTTGTCTCAATATTACGGTCACAGAATGCGACAAGTTTAACTAAGAATCGAACTTGATTTGTTTTAAACATTTATTCAAAAATTTGAAAACTTATTTCTCGATATAAGACCATTTTCTGATTGCATATCAAAAGTTACATCTTAAATGTGAGTAGCATGAAAAAATCTACTTCCATAGCTGAAGAAAAGGCGATCGAAGTTTCAAATTGTACCTCGATTTCCTCGAAAACTATCCATCGGACGAATTATTTAACAGTACCAAATGACTCAACTTTTATGTCCTTACAAAACGCGTCAAGTATCAACCCTCAACTCGAATTTTCACGTCTTCAGCACTAATTTTTGCAATTCATTTGCAGCTTCAACCAGAAAATTGGTTTATTCTCCAAGATATTGGTTAAGATGAGTTTGTTTTGTTAAATTAGTTGTTTCTTCGTACATTTACAGCCTAAATATCACAATGAAATGCTCTAATGAAAAATTATCAAACTTAATTTGATTATCAATTAGTGAACAATTGAATTGGTGAAAGAATGAGGACTGTAGCTAATGCCACTCTCGAGTTTTTAGCAGTACTTATTACATTTCGCTCTTTCCATCTTGAATAACTAAATTACCTTACTAAGGTACTTTGGCCAGGTCGAATGCAGATGAATAAGTTTATCTGAGCAGGCTACCTTGGCTGGGCGTACTAATTCGACCATCAGCGTCATTTGAAAGGCTCTCAATATTCAAAGCTACATGTAGCTAATTGACTCATAGCGAATGGAGTTGCAATATTTCTCGTTGAACTAACTGTTGAATAAAATGAATTAAGAGCCTTTTAATTTCCATTCGAACTGCATTCATAATTAAATATCTCTAAACTTGCAAATTGTTTAATGCATTGACTGAATGAATGCTTGAATCTCTCTGATCCATTTCAAGAACTAAAGCGTCTTCCACAAACAATTTGTCAATGAGGAAAAAGCGAAAGATCGACTTTTCTGACTTTTCCCCGCTGTTTGTCGAAGTAACATTTCAATTTGCTTTCAACATCTTCTTTTTACACAATAACAACAATCGCTACACCATATTTAGCATCGAGTAACTAATAATAGACATTATAAGGCTAATTATAAGGTTACATTAGTTAATTAAGAAGCGTAAAGCAACTCTAATGTATCCTTGATTTATCGGTTAAAGGTTTCTCTATTGATTCAGTTCCAATAACCACCAGAATAGTAAGAAATTTATTTCTATTTATTACCACATTATCTGAAGATGGTGACTGTAGGTAATGCCATTCTCGCAATATCGAAGCTCAAAGTTTTCAGGTAAATAGTAAAAATCAAGAACTGTTATTTAATTGTTAAAAGTAATTAATCCATGGTATAAACCAACAATTTATAGCTAACAATAATAAGTTTTAGCTCGCTAACTCTTCCGGTCCTAGAAAGCGACAGGTTTCATTGACAACCCAACTAATCTGTTTTACAGAAAAGGAAAAGTTCTATGTCTCGAAATAAATACATTTTCTGGTTGAACTTCAAAAGAGTGTTATTTGTGTCTTTTTAGTAACAACCGATTTATAGTGTTGATTTTTCAAACACTCGAGCGGCTAGAGGAAATATTATCAATACTTTGTCAGAATTTCAAGTTTTCTTCCGATTTATTGAATAATTGAATTCGTGTTTTTTAGAGATAAGTTTTTCAGTTTAATAAATAATAACAAAGAGGATAATTTGTTAGATTGTAATTAACAAGAGGTTAAACAGTATAAGTAGTTTTGATACATGATATTGACAGATTTATGCTTATATTGAACTGATTGTGATTTGCATCGATATGCCAGCAAATTTTGCAAACCAATTTCACTACAACAGAGCATCATTAAAAGTGTATCAAGTCAAGCAAACAAAGTTTTAAAAATTGATTTACAAAATGAATGCTATGGTCACAGTCAACAATTAACCTTTGATTTAAAGGTTTTACATATTAAGGTTAACATTTGATTAATTTTGTACAATTTTAGCAAGTTTTTTGGTGATCTGTGGCTTTTTTGAATGCTTTTGACAAGTTCTTTGTCAGTCTTTGCATCAATTTGGTTATTTGGTTCATTCAGGGTTGTAATTTTGAGATACTCCAGTCATTATGGTTGTGTCCAGTTGATGCAATGGCTTGGGTTGATTTCTGAATGCGAAGTCTCTCTCTTCAGTCCAGATTAATTTATTGATTGCAATACCAATCCAATAAAATATGAGAAGCATCAATATACAGCCAAAGATGAAAAATATCCTTCCAACGGTACCAAGTTTACCCAAAATCGGGTAAAGCCAGAAATCAATGTAAAAATGTACAAAAAATAGCCAAGTTATAAAACAAATTATGAAGGCGACTAAAATAAACATTGATTTAACCAAATGCTTGGGTCTTTTATGGCTTGTAATCAGCAATTCCAGGATAATCGTTGGACCAACCAGTGTGTGCTGTGAATTAAGAAGAGGAAAAATTAACGATTAATTCATAATAATACAATTTGACTAAATAATCAGGGTAATGTTTTATCGACTGGAGGATTTGTAAACTAGCCAAGGTTGCTTGGTAAGCTGATTATGTTGTTTGATGGTTCAATGTGAACATTGAACAATAATACAACAACAGGGTAATTAAAGGTTAATTTATGTTGACAGCAAAAACACACTAGTGATGCACGATATTCAAAAATATCTATCCAAAAGTACCATCGATATTTTGGAAATATTTAAATGGCAAATGCTCGTCGATAATATTGAATATTATTTTACAATATATGCATGATATTGAATTGAGATTTTTGCTTATGATGTTGTTTATTCCTAAAACTTACCACAATATGATTGAGCAAAATGTATTTAGTTGGTCTACTGGTAACTGTTCCTGGTCCCATTGCAGCTAGAACCCAAAAGGTTATGGTAACAAACTGCAAGACAAAAGAAGAGCAAATTCATTATTAGATCATTGAGTGACACAATTTAATTACCCAAATATCTTCATCAAAATCTTCATCTGTTCATTTCAGTCTCATTTAAACTGTCATCATCAAATACTGTTAATGTTAGAAATGAAATTATCATTCCAAGATTAACCATTCAGATATCATCGTTTGTTGGATAAGGCTCAAAATTAAACTCAACAAGATGCAACCTAAAAATGATTTCTCATTATGATATTTGCACTCATTCTGATCGCAATATTGTCTTTTAATTACTCTTGATAAATACTGTCGTCAAATTTTATTACCTTAAATTGTCTGTGTTTCATGTGTTCAAATTGACTGAGATTTTGGCGAGACAAGATGAATTTTTGGGTAGATTTTGAGTTACACTACTTACAACTCCTAATGGAAAAGCCAGTGAGTAAATTACATGATCAACGATTATCGACAACCGTCTGATTATCGATGACTGTTTACCCTCTGAGTGACCTGATAGGTCCAAACAATCAGATCGACGGCTGAAAATGTATTTGCCAACAATAGCCAAATCAAGACCAAGAAGTGTTGTAAACACAACCAATTGAATCATCTGGTGAAAGAAAAGCAAGAAAAAATGTTTAGTGAAATCGGCAAATCAATAAGCTCATTGTGAATTGAAATGATAATAAGCATAATTAATAATCAGTCTCAATCACTTTCCATTAATAACAGTTTATCATAGTTGATTGAAATTGTCGTAAACCCAATCAGGTTAAAAGTAATGTGATACTTTCATCAATAGTTAATAATAGGAAGAAATAATTGTAAGTCACAATTCAGACGAGTTAATTATAGCTGTTGACAAGTTAATAATAAGCTGGACTTTTAATTTACAATTTATAGCATCACTAATTATTCAAGTATTTTGTCAAATCAAAAATTTTAATGCTAATCACTTCCCAGGAAATTAATGAAGGCTTGAGCTAATCAAGTACGAGATCAATATGCATCAATATATCGATCAATGTTCATTAGTTGATTAAACAAATTATTTTGTTGTGAATAAACAGATTGATTGAATCAAGAAACTAGGTGAATGCGAATCAAATTATATTTAATTTTTGATAATGCTAATAATTATAATCAAACTCTAACCAACACTCAATTATAATGATAGAGATGAAAAGTTGATCTCAAGATGAAATTGTGTTATCATTGAACATGATTGTTGTGTTACAGATTGAATTACAACTTGAGTTGATTACAATTTGATTAAAAGGTGTGTTTATCCGCTTGATTATTGATTAATTTGAGGTGGAATCACGTTTATAAGTACAAATTGGATTTACAATTAGTGTTTGATTGAAAGGTAAAAATTGAATTGTTTAAAACGATTAAATGTAATCATCTTTTAAATGTTAACTTTTGCATGTTTTTTGCCAATGGGATTTGAAATGAAAATTTCAATTGTGGTTTCAAATTTGCTCAATGATGGGCTAATTAATGGTTTAAATTTGATTTCATTTTGAGGACAAACTTACGAGGTCAAAAATGGAGTTTAAAATTACGCATTGCTTTGATTAAATAAGTTTAATTTTTAATAAACTTAATCAATAAACTGATTCCATGCAATCCTGTTGAACCAGATTAACTTGACGGGTTAATCAAGTAAGAAGGTTGCTTTCAATATCAACAATCACAAAGAGAAACAAATGGCTAAAGAGGAACCAGCAATTAATCAACAATTAGAAATCTAAATGGCATTACAATCAAATGATATCATATTTCAATAATCTGCTGAAATTAATCCTGATCAAGATTATCTTGCAAGCTCATCATAACTCAATTGGTTAACAATTTGGATTCATTTAACAGCTTTTCAATGTTTGAAAGAAGTCTCAACAACTTAATTAAAGTCAATTTGATGGACTTTAAAACTCCCCAAAATCACAATCACTCAATTGTTATCAATTTAACGATTTAATTTGAGTTGATTGCTCTTATTGAATCTCTAGTTTTGTTGGTTAATTGTCATTTCAATGTATCTTTTCATGTCAATCAATGTTTAATAATTGATACAAGTTAATGGATTCCATGAAAACATCTTGAAATTTGTTCACATTTGGCTAAATATGGGTTCAATTGATTTACAAGTGATTTATCAACACTCATTAATGAGGTTAATTTTTAGCTGTTTTAATAATAAATATAACAAGCTACTAATTGTTGTTTAACCCTTCTTCTTTAATTTGATTTAACACTTATCATACCATTAAAGCAAACACTGCTGCTGCTTTTCAATAATAACATCAAAATTATATTCATAATCGTTATGTTTTGTTAAATCATCATTATCATCAATTGATGTCTGGTTATTAAAACACTTAACTCAGCTGTTATCAAAGTCAAAGGTTAATTTGTTCAATGGAAACACACTTTGAAATGAACAAAAAGGACTGAATTAGAAGCGATCAAATATTATTTGCAAATAATCAGGTTTGAGTAAAAATAATCAACAAACTAATGATTCATTTATTAAGTAAACTAATTATCCTTTCCAGGCATAAACAACAATTAAATCAGTCAAATGAAAGTGGAAACAAGCAAAAGGTTCAATTTATTGATATAAAATATCATTATGTATGCATTAAAAATGTAAGAAACTAGAAAATGGTTGATTATTATTTTATGGCTGGATTTTGCCGTTGAAAAGTTGATAACCTTTTACCTATGATGTAATTTGAGTCTATTCAGTGATAATCAAAGCCAATATATTCAACTATTAACCGGTAAATCAACTCTCGAAATGTAACAAACCTTGATTCAAATTGTAATCAACAAAAAAGTAACCTTTCAGCATTTCTTTTCATCTTTTTGCTTATCATTTACGGATGTTTCCACCTCTATTTTGGGTTACATTTGTCCACATTGAAACCCAAAAAATGGGCCCAATTATGGCCAATTGTTGGCTAATAGACAATTTGGCTTTATTTTGGTAAATCAGTCGGTTGCGTTTGTCCAGTAAAAATAGTTGCAGTTGAATTAACTTGATTACATTTGAAGTATCTTTTTGTTGGCATTCACAGCCAATGAACGTGACTCTAACCTACAAAGCAATTGAACAATTGAACGGAAAACTCGTAACTCGGTTTGCTAATATTGAAAAGCATCATTTTGATTAAAATAATCAAGTCAGTAGATTGCTAAATGATTCAACAATAGTTAGTTAACCAGAGAAAAGGATGAAACTCATTGGGTTTTACACTTTGTTTCATCTGCAGACTCAGCTTTTTACTCTCATCATGAGCAAACATGGGAAGATAATTGAAAATTAAATGATGGGCAATAATGATGATAATACCAGTTGTTCATTACCTTGAAAATTGAATAATAAAATATCATTAATAGGCTAACAGTTTGTAATATTTCAGTTGCTGTCCAATTGTTACCAGCAATTTAAATCAATCAAGCTTCATCACTTAACATTAACTTTTCCTATTAAAACATTAAAAACAATTTTAGAGTTGCATTGGGTTAAAGCTATAATAAACCAAAGTAACCCAAAAATCGCTGATAAGGTTTTAAGGCTTATCAATATTACTGATCGTCTGATGATCAGTTAAAACCAACGGTTACCATAAGGCCTTATCATCCTATTGTTATAATGAACCTTTTGTCATCATCTTTAGTCGGTTCTGGTCTCACCATTAACCTTTAACCAATTGGAATCAAGATTTATCTTGACAAATGAATAATCGGTTAAACCAATGTTAGAAATGAAATGCTTTCAAAGATCGTTAGTCTATTTATAATTGTGACTTCAACACTTGTTATTTAAGTAATAAGAATTGTTGAACAATGAATGGCTGGTTCAATAGCTTCTGGTATTAGATCATGAAAAATGGTTCATTCCAATTCAATGTCAATGTACATTTGAATTGATAAATCTGAGTTAAGATAATTCAAGCAACTGGTTTGGACATGAAAAGTGTAGATTAATTCAACTTTTAATCTTTCAGGTTGCATACAAAAAAGCCATAACCTTTCATGTCAATAAATCAATATAAAAAAGACTGAAAAAATCGCCGTTCTCTTGTTAACTACAATCATTTACATTAAAGATTAAAAATTGAAGCTTGTAAAGAAACAATTTGCCTGCCATAAAATTATTCAACTTTAATACCCGGAGTTACCTGAGTACATCAAAATTAACAATACAGTGTTGACCGTTGATTGATTTGACAAACAAATGTTGGACAACACTATCAAATAAACGATTAAACTTAAATGTAGAGTAAATAACAAAAATGATTAAGGTATATAACTATTGAAGATTGAAGATGTTGACTTGGTTGAGAGGTCAACAGTGAAACAAGAGTTTAATAATGATGACCTGAATCTTTGACCGAAGTAAATTTTTCATTAAAAATGCTAATGGGTTGAACAATTGCAAGTTTCACTTTTACTCATTCAAAGGTTCATTTCCGTAAGTTTTCATGAAAGGCCGAAAATTGAACTATTCGGTTCAAGATTATCACCAACTAAAACATGGTAAGAGTGAAACCTTGGCTATAAAGGTAAAGCTAATAAAAGAGTTGGTGTTTTGTTTCACTACAGATGAAAAAAGTTGAATCAAATCATTTTTGAGGAAATGAGATAAATTCCTTGCTTTCCAATGATTTATCTGTACATTTGATCAACCTCTTGTTAACTCATTGGAAACAGACAATTTAACCAAACTGTAACCAAAGCTAATTATCATAATTTGGATTAACTGTAATTAAGATTACTTACAAAATTCCAACGGGTTAGGAACTTCCAATCTCCAGCCCAGGCTGGTTCTTCCGAGTCCTTTACTCTATCTGGAAATGTAATTTCAGACAAAACCAATCCATAAAAATAGACTAAGGTAGCCATTAGGTGAACCAAAAAAGAGACTAATCTCCAGGCAATCCAATTGATTTGATCCATGTTTGGGATTATAGTTCACTGTAACAGTTAAATTATTGAACTGGTTTTCACACTGAGACTCACAATTTGAAATTGATTGTCAATGAGAATGAAAGTTGATTTGATCGGCAGTAAAAATTGTTAAGATACGATTACATCTATCGATATGAGCACATTGTGCGGTTGACTGAAGTCACAAATATAAAGAGATGTAACAGAGTAATGATGAGAGGCTCTTTTTGATGGTTTATACTCAATTTCCAGTCAGTTGTTTTATTATTTGGGTAACTATTCACTCACTGTTAAAAGAGTTGTTGATGATTTAACAACAATAATGAAATTATTTGAAAAAAAATCAAGATTGATGCTTACACTTCAAAAAAATTAAACACGAAAATGAAAAAGCGAAACAAAGAAGAAACATAAACACAATGAGCAAAGTAAAGCAAGAATTGAAGAGAACAGAAAGGCGTTCTCAAGGTTTGGTTAAGTAATCAAATTGTCGAATCCTTACTTGTTTGATTTTGACATTTTATTACAATTTAAAAACATTGTTAACTTGGTAGGTAATTCAAAATGTATTGATGGCTTAACATGATTCATTTCATGATGTGATCATGTTTGCTATCCAGTTGAAAGTAAACTTGACTCTGTTGAGTTTGTCCGTTAAAAATGTAGCTGCAAACTTGTTTCTGCCAAATCAAACCACAGTCATCAGTTTGTTGTGTATAACTGAAACTGCTTCAACATTGCCTTTTCTTATTCTCATGTTAATCATTTTATTTGATTGTTATTTGATTGTTATTAATATTTTCTACTTCAATTATTTTCCCTTTACATATCATTATCCTATCAATGATTCTGATAGTCTATCAATTGTTTTATTACCACAGAATCATCTGGTAACAAAAAGGTTCATTTTTCTTGCTTTACCTTCATCAAGTACCTCTGTGTAATCAGTTCAATCAGTTAATCATTTCTGTGTTCATTTTCCTGGTTTAAATTTTCTCCAGTGTAATTTAGTTAACTGTACAATTTGTGGATATCACAAGGGTGGTCATATCAAAGTAAATCGTTGACAACAAGAGTCTAGTCAAATCAGATGGTAAGGGCTAATCAAGGGCTTGAGTTCCTACCAATGATTCAGTCTAATTTTTCTGGTGCAATAGGTGTACATTTATTTTGAAACATTTTCAGATATTGACATGATTGATGATCTAATAATTGTTGAAATAACCTTTGAAAGTTGCATGGATTTAATGATTATATTTAGTGAATTTTTACTTCAAAATGTGATGCTCTCCATTTACCGGTTACTAAAACCGACTCACATAGATCGGAAGTCTGATTATAATAAACTGATGAGTATCATGTTGAAAAGCGATTGAAGATCAGATTATGTATTACAAGTGCTGTGGTTAACCCAATCCCATAGTTGACACCATTTTCATCGTATTGATTTAAAATTGGCACCATTGTCAGTTCTGATATACAAGAAGTGTGTTTAGATATTTGGCAGCTGATTGTTTATTTCAACTCACACTTTGTCAGTTTCTTTTTCTGTAAAATGATATAAGCACATAAATGCACTTGATTACTGTGATAGGGTTAATGTTACAATGACAATGATAGTTGAACCAAGATTGATGACACTGTACATGAAGTGAAATGCTAGCAAAATGCAAGATGATATTGAATGACTGATGTGTGTACTTTTTAATCAGCTGATGAATACCAATTCATTTGATAGGCATTTGCTTTTGATGGCCAATATGATCCTAATTGTAGCGATTCTCATTTCTTATTCTTCATCTTCTACATGAGTTTCTTGTAAAATTTCCCCTTTAATCCAGTGATACTTTTGAATATGTTTCCTCATTCGTTTCATGTCTTGTGTGCTTTTATCACAATAACAACAGTGAAGTAAAATATTTTCAGTCCGATACAAATGGCTTAGCAGATTATGACTGCGACCGATAACAGGTTTTCCTGACAGGCACATGTTACAATGACATTTTACGAAGCTTGACTTTGAATCATTACCAAACCTTCGCATACAGCTTTTCAACTGCATGTGAATATTTTCAGGATCCACAAATGTATCGTTTTTAGACATTTTTAGGCAAAAGACTTTGGTTTCGGCTTTTTTGTTTCTCGCTTTACAGATAACCTTCATTGTAAGTGGATCGTTGTTGAAGGATCTATTGGAAAGGATAGAGAATGTGAAAAATTAAAGTGTTATTGATAAATTGTGATGCTATGGGAATTTTGATTACCTTGTTTCAATTGTATTAATATTAATATTGTTAATATCAGGCTTTGCTTCTGTAGTGCCTACAGATTTAAGTTTGGGAATATTGTTTGTTCGCTGTTTCTTTTTAGATAATTCTGAAGTTAACACTTCATTATCTTTAGGTGATGCTTGAGAAATTTCGGTCAATTTCCACCTTAATTCCTGTTTTCTCCTTTTGGCTGCCAATAAGGTTTTAGGTACTGTAATACAACAGATAAACAATGAAATGCTTTTCTTTGCTCTCAGTCAACGGATTGCTATTGTATCTACTCACATGAAAATACTGAACATTTCGGTGATTTGATTGGGCGCTTCAAGCCAGCATTGGATGAGATACCATAATAAGTTGAGTTATTTATTGAGTTTGATTGTTGATTATCCGAAGTGTGATATAATAGATCAGCTATGGAAAAGATATGCTTAATTATTTCAGCTCGTATCGATGTTGTTTCTTAACTTACCTGATATATTATCAAGAGAATGATCAGAATCACTATCACTACTACTGCTATCATGAGAGATAGAACCATTCAATTTATCCATTGAGTTACCACGTTCAGGTGTCTCATGTGGTTCTATTTTTGACCTTTGCCATTCGTTCATTGGTGTTTCTTGGTTTTCAAGAGTTGTCTCTATTAATGGTACTTTTGATTAAAACAACAATCAAATTGCTAATGATATCCGTAAGAATAATGGAACGTACCTGAACATGAATCTTTTTGCCCTTTATTTACAACTTTTTTCAAAGTCTCGTCTCGAATCTTTTGCTGTATCTTTAAAAAATCTGGTTCTGCTATCTCGATATTTTTATTGGCTGATCTCAAATCAAATTTTGTCGAATCTGAATTAGCTGTATCATTACAATTGAAATTAATTATTTCTCCATATGTAGATCATGTGAAAACAGAATGAAATGATAATTTGTAAATATATTTACCTATTTCTTGATTGATATCCACAGTATCAAAAATACCAATTGTTGAATTTTGCATTTTATTTACTAATGAATCAATCTCGTCCAAGTCAGCTTGAGATTCTTGGATTGCTTTAAGCAAAAGTTTGAATATCTGGATTCGGTCCTCGATCATTGCAAGTTTAGCTTCAGCCATTTGGATAATTTTGAAATCTAATTTCCTGATAATTGAGCACTCAGAAATTAAAAAGAGACTAGAACAGTTAACCTAATCAACTGATTTGAGAAATTAAAATTACAATAATAAAAGCGTTAATAGCAGAGCCATCTAACATTTATTTGAGCTACTACTTCATTTAATACCAGAATTTTCTTGTGCATCTGTTTTTTAATTATTGTTTACATTTTTCTCTGTTTACCTGGGCTTTATAAAATTAATTTAGTTGTCTTTTTATTAATTTAAATGCAGTGATATTCATTATTTAATATGAGTGATCTAAGTGAAGTAAATCGTGAACCTTTAAGATTAAAAGGTATGCCTATGAAGAAGAAGAAAAAGAAGAACAAAGATATTAAAAATGTCAACAAAGTGGATGTAAAATTGGATCAACATGTAAAAAATGAAACTGAAACTAAAGAGATTGATTTAAAGAATCGTGAAGACTACGAGACTGGTGATATTCAATTGACAAAAGCTGAATTGGCGTGTCTCAAGAAACAGGAGAAGCTTCAAATGAGTAGAATTTTAGAAAAAGCATCAAAATCTCATCGACGATTGGTTGAAGAGTTCAACAGTAAATTGGACAATATGAGTGAACATTATGATATCCCAAAAGTCAGTTGGACAAAGTGAAAAGGAACAATCAACTTCATAATCTACCAATTCTCTTATCCTTAATCCATGTACCTTGTTCATATGAAATCAATTCAAATGTAAATATCTCTCGAATAAAAGCGTTCTGATCGCTTGAAATTGCTAATTTTAAAGTGAACATGTTAATTTGTGTCCTTATTTTGTATCAATTCAGTTGGATCAAAGTTGGGTAGTTGAATTTCTTAACAATAATTGAAAATCTTTCACTCAATAAAAATTCTAACTTACATCATGTATGACTCCGATTTTAATTTAATTTGATTGATCTTCTATTCGAAATTGCACATGGAACTTTGTAAATTTTATTTAATGGATTATTTTTAATAGAAAAATACTATTAGGCTCTGATAATTGGTTAAAATTATAAAAAAGTTATCAATAAATTAAATTATCGCTCAAATTTGAGTTCATCTTTTCACAGCAATAGTTATGTTTTTGAATTTTGCGCGTAAATGTTTATTTGGATCATCTTGAATCCGGTTTCAATCCAACCAATGGATTGTAGGAAATTCTAGTGACCCGTTGGCAATTACAATTTGCTTTTCACACTTATTTAATAATTGTTATATTGATTATTTTAGTTTTTTGTTTTGTTTAATCGGATAATCTTTCATCCTTCTTTGGGGTCAATTGACTAGCTATTTTGGTTGTGCTCTGGATTTGTTTTTAAATAAGTTACCAGCATGACAACTACTCAAGCAGATTCTATTTGCTACACCATTATTAATGCACCCATTGATAGTGAAACTGTTAATGAACAGAATTTAAGAAATGCTCTTGGTAAGTAGTCTTAATATCAAAGTCTTGAATATATTGTACCTTTTAAACAGTCTGTTTTTGTCCAGCTTCTTATGTTTATTTGCTCAAACATCTTATTCATATTCACTATCTCACACATTTTTTTCTGTATTTTTCTTTTCCATTTAAACAGAGAAAGGAGACGTCAAAGAAAAAGTAGATGCCCTGAAGAAGTTAATTCACTTGATTTTGAGTGGAGAGAAGTTTTCTCCTCGCATGTTGATGACCATCATTCGATATGTTTTACCTTCACAGGATCATGAGATAAAGAAACTTCTCCTCATATTCTGGGAAATTGTACCTAAACGTGGAACAGATGGTAAATTGCTGCACGAGATGATTTTAGTTTGTGATGCATATCGTAAAGATTTACAGCATCCTAATGAATTTTTACGAGGATCGACTTTAAGATTTTTATGTAAGCTTAAAGAACCTGAGTTGATTGAACCATTAATGACATCAATAAGAACCTGTCTGGAACACCGACATTCATATGTTCGCCGAAATGCTGTTTTGGCTATTTTCAAAATCTATATCAACTTTGAGCAATTGATACCTGATGCCCCAGAATTAATTCTCGAATTTATTTCACGAGAAACCGATGCTAGCTGTAAACGCAATGCTTTTCTAATGTTAATCCATTTGGATCAAAGTAAAGCTCTTGAATATTTAAATTCATGTCTAGATCAGATCACTAGTTTTGGTGATACTCTCCAATTGGTCATTGTAGAATTAATCTACAAAGTTTGCATTGCAAATCCCAACGAACGATCAAGATTCATTCGAGCAATTTATAATCTATTGAACACATCTACCTCACCTTCAGTTAGGTATGAAGCCGCAGCAACTTTGATAACCTTATCACAAGCTCCTACTGCCCTCCGAGCTGCTGCCAACTGTTTCATTGACTTGTGTTGCAAGGAAAGTGATAATAATGTAAAGCTTATCGTTCTTGACCGATTGATTGGTTTAAAAGACTCCACTTCTGGAGCTGAAAAGGTTCTGCAAGATGTTCTTATGGATATAATAAGAATTCTGAGTTCTGCCTCTGATCTAGAAGTCAAGCAGAAAATTCTGGCCTTAGCACTTGATCTCATATCTTCTCGTAATGCTGAAGAGGTAGGTTTAAAGATTAATTTAAAAAATATTCAAGTTAATAATTTTTTTCCAATTTTTTGTTCTTTTTAGATGGTTCACTTGTTGAGGAAAGAGCTACAGAAAACACAGAATGAATCAATAAATAATAATGAAGATACCAGTAACTATCGCCAATCCTTAGTGTCAACTTTACATAAAATTTGTCTAAAATATCCTGATGTTCTCATCTCGGACCAACTTATTACAACACTGTTCGAATTTCTTTCCAGTGATGATCAACCAACAGCAACATTAGTTTTTAACTTTGCTCGGGATTACATATTTAAAAATCCTCAGCACAAAACTCTTTTGGTTACCAAAGTTTTAGAAGTTTTTGGATCAGTTAAAAATTGCCAAGTCCATCGACCATTGATTTGGCTATTAGGTGAATATTGTGAGGAAACTGAACCAGAATTAATTCAAGAAGCAATGACAACTATTCGAAACAGTTTGGGAGAAATACCCATTGTTGAAAGTGAATTAGCCCAAATCGAAACCAATGAAACTGGTGGTGAAAACGTCAACAGTAATGATACCGGAGGGCCTACAAAATTAGTTACTGCTGATGGATCTTATGCTACTCAATCAGCTTTGAGTGTTTCATCTCGAACGGATGGCAAAAAGCTACCACCTCTTCGCGAATACTTTTTAAATGGCGACTTCTTCGTAGCTTCAGCTTTGGCTAATGCTCTTGTTAAACTGGCTTTCAAGTTCAAGGCGGCTAAAATGTCTCATCCAGATTCTGATTCCTTAAGAAAAGTGAATTCATTTATAGCTGAATGTATGCTGATTCTTACTTCCATTCTTCACCTTGGAAAGGCTCGTACATCAGGTTTGCTTCCTAGTACAGATAAAACAGAAAGATCAATAAGCGAGGATGATTTCGATCGAATAGCTCTTTGTCTTGTCGTCTTATCGCAAATGTGTTCAGAAGGGCAATCTGAAAATGTTACAAGTATCATGAAACGTTTATTCATTAACGAAATGAGAGAATGTCTCAATCTGATGTTACATGCTAATCCATGTATTGAAGAAGATGTAAAGGACAAGAAGAGAGAAAATAAATTCGTTGAAGTCGATGACCATCTCAATTTCTCCCAACTGTTGGGCAAGAACCAGGAAATGTTTGAAAATCAATTTGAACTTTCATTGTCTCAAGCTTTAAGTGGTAATGTTGGTGCAACAGCGACATCAATAACACATGGAAAAACGACTAGCATTGCAAACCTTCTGTCAGCTTCCAAGCTTTCCAAAGTTACCCAGTTAACTGGCTTCTCCGATCCAGTATATGCTGAATGTTACGTTAACGTAAATCAATATGATATCTGTCTTGATGTTTTGATCGTTAATCAGACAAGTGATGTTTTACAAAACTGTACCCTCGAATTATCGACTTTGGGCGATTTAAAGCTTGTTGAAAGACCTCAACCAGTTGTTTTAGCACCTCATGATTTTGCTAATATAAAAGCAACAGTTAAAGTTACTTCCACTGAAAATGGTATTATCTTTGGTAACATAGGTAAGCAAAATAATCTTTTAAATATATTTTTAATTGTATCCCAACTAAAATCTTTAATTAAACAATTTTTCATTTCATTTTCAGTTTATGATGTCAGTGGATCTACCTCAGATCGTAACATTGTTGTATTAAACGATATTCACATAGATATTATGGATTACATCGTGCCTGCTAGTTGTGATGATCACCAATTCCGTAAGATGTGGGCAGCCTTTGAATGGGAAAATCGTGTCACCGTTAATACACCAATATCTGATCTTCAAGAATATTTAAGACGCTTAATCAAATGGACTAATATGAAATGTTTAACTCCACAACAGGCACTATCAGGAGACTGTAGTTTCCTGGCTGCCAACCTTTACGCTAAATCAATTTTCGGAGAAGACGCTCTTGTCAATGTTAGCATTGAAAAATCTACACCTGATGGAAAAGTTACCGGATTTGTTCGAGTCAGAGCTAAATCTCAAGGAATGGCACTTAGCTTAGGGACTAAAATTCATGATACACAGAAGATTGCTACTGCTGCTTGAATCTATATCAATTCAAAATCAGGATTAAAATATAAAAAAACGAATCATAGATTCTTTCACAAAAGTCATGTATGTTTCCATTTCAAATGATTTAGTTCACAAGTGGTGCTCGCTTGAAACCGATATTTGTATTATTCTTTTAATTAAATTGTCGAATATGGTTTGAAATTAGTTCATTTAATTTATTTAAAGAATTATATATGTTTTTAAAGTGATGTCAAATGTTTGCTTGGATTCAGCATGTAAAAGCTGCAAGTAAAATGCATTCATGTACAGTCGAAGTCAAAATTTTAATTCAACGATTAAAGTAAAATCACTTCAAATTCAGGTAAATTTTCAGGCTAAAAATCGTAAGCTTTTGAACACTTTAGTAGTCAGGGTTAAGTTAACATTTTGCTATGGACCGTTTTAGGTTTAAGGCACCGTCTATCGCTTGCTACCTAGTGGACACCTACATTATGGCGTTATCAACTATTGGTCTAAAGGCTAAAGTTTAAACGCTCGGTGTCATCGAATGAATGAAGATTAAACATTTTGAACAGTAAGGCCATCTAGCATCTACCTAAAATACTACATTAAATATACCAGAATTTAGAATTTTCTGGTATATCTGTTTTGATGTTTAGATTGAGCTTGTGATATTGTTTAGTTGTCTTTATTTCCTTATTATTAATTTAAATTTAGTGATATTCATTATTTAATATGAGTGATCTAAGTGAAGTAAATCGTGAACCTTTAAGATTAAAAGGTATGCCTATGAAGAAGAAGAAAAAGAAGAGCAAAGAAAGCAAAAATGCCAACAAAGTGGATGTAAAATTGGATCAACATGTAAAAAATGAAACTGAAACTAAAGAGATTGATTTAAAGAATCGTGAAGACTACGAGACTGGTGATATTCAATTGACAAAAGCTGAATTGGCGTGTCTCAAGAAACAGGAGAAGCTTCAAATGAGTAGAATTTTAGAAAAAGCATCAAAATCTCATCGACGATTGGTTGAAGAGTTCAACAGTAAATTGGACAATATGAGTGAACATTATGATATCCCAAAAGTCAGTTGGACAAAGTGAAAAGGACTAATCAACTCTATAATCTATCACTTCGACTTCTTGAAATTTCATCAACTAAAACTCGATTTTATCCTCATTGCATCATCAATTAAAATATTAATCGTTTCATTTACACTCCTATAAACAAATGTCATTGAAATCTCGATATTAAGTGTACGAAGCTAATGTAAATATTTTTCATCAAGAAATGGACTGTCCTTGTAATAAAAGTTACCTTATTTAATTGAAGATATAAATAAAAAGTCAGAAATAATTTTTTTTGAATGGTGTAAATAATTTTAATCAAGTGAACATTTTGAACATACAGAGCTAAAATAAATAAAGTTATTTCAAAAAATTGGTGGTTTTTTCGCTAGAGTCTCATAAATTGAGTTACAATACAATTTAAATTGTATCTACTACATAAACATGATAGTAGCTGTTGGTGATCAATGAAATTTATAACGACATTAAAAAGTGAAACAATAATAAAGGTAATATAACCATAACGGCCTTTTGTGTATAACCACAGCAACAAGTATCAAGGACGGAAAGTTAATAGCTATTAAACCACTTTTTTGTGCCAACAATGCCATCAGCCAAAAAACGTAACATCGATCAGATTATCTCTATGAGAAAGTGTACAAAAAGTGGGTACAAATTTAAATTTGATCACATAATAAAGCATATTATAGTGATCTAATTATAAATGTATAATGATATAAGATATAATATTGAAGCTGCTAATGTTGAATTTTAGTACCAAAGTTATTGCATCAAAGAGATCTTTAACAAATTGAGTGAAATATCACAAAAGTTTAACTGCAAATTCAAATATAAAGTTATGATAAATTCAATAAAATTGATCAACTGCTTATTTATCCTTGTAGAACCAGATTCAAATCGATCCTTGAATCGACAAAGCCAAACGTACAATTAATAAATATAGCAAATAGTTGTTTTGGTGGGTCCAAGGAAAACGGTAATGTCACTTCATACGTTTCGAATCCATATAAAACAAAGTGTGAATGTAAGTGATAAATAGCCAGTTGATTGGATTGAAAAAAAATGATAAAATATCAAAAAATTGCGAATCGAATTAAGTTTGCCTTGTGTTGATAGCAAACTACTGTAATTATTAAAGAGCCTTCAACAGGTAAACAGGTAAACATGTAAACTTGTCAATAGATTGCGTCACTTTTATTAAGTAGGTCTGAACTCTACTGGTTAAGATCAGTTTAAATCAGTTAAAGTTAGAAACTGATTCGATTCCTGATCAGCATTTGATCTCCAACAGGTTAGGAAATTTAAAGGACGATTAGGCCAATTAATTTTTTTCCATGATATATTTCTCATCCAAGTAACAAATGAAAGTTCACCATTCCTTATTCACTATTGCCAACTAACGATACAATAAGTTTAAATTTTCAAGACACGTTCTTCACCAGCACAAATTTCATCGATGATTGCCAATGCTGTTGTTTGATATAACAATCAATCAGTCAAGAGTATTGTGTTGGTCTATATTGCGTAATAGCCCAACTTTAAATTTCATTTTTAATTCATCAACCCTTTTGATAGCTTTGATCGTTACCAAGTCTGTATCTTTGTTTGTTCAACCCTTGCGTTTAGCAGCATCAATCAGAATATTTGTAATCTTGGTTTGCAATACTTTGAATTGATGTTCCATAACTTTCAATTGTTCCTTAAGCATTGTATTCTCTGATTCCAAGCGTCTCTCTTCAGTAATCATTTTGTCGAGCTTTTCCTTTTTTGTTAATCGACCTCTTCTTGAAGAGGCTTCATGTTGATTTGAATTTCGCTTTCGATTTGAAGAAGAAAAGTCTGATCCATTTATTAGACAGAACAAATCTCGACTGCTATCTCGTTGATCGGTGGTTGAGTTCAATGATGAATTAGATGGGCACGATGAAGGTGGAGAAAATGAGGGTTGACCACCAAAAGGTGATGAGGTATTGTGTCTTGAGGTGTAAGGATGATCTTCGACTACGGTTGGGACCATGCTTTCGTTTAAAATGCTAGTTGAGGGCTGAGAGTGAGAAAAAGAATAAGATCGAGGTTTGAGTTCAGCATAGCTCATTGATGATGTGCTTGATGAAGGAGTCAAGGATGAAGGTGTATCGATTCCCATTCTTGGTTCAACATCACAAACTGCAGATCGATTCGAATAGCCCGAGATCCCTGGTAAAGTAGTTGGATATTCAAAATCGTGCTGAGCTGAGGATAATGAATACATGTGTGATGAAGACCTATTGGAGTCTAAGCCTGACTCGTTTGGTTGAGTTTGATTTTGATGAATATGGTGAAGAGATGGTGATGATGATGACAGAGAAGTTTGTTCAAGTTGATGATGATGATGTTGATGTTGGGGTTGTTGATGCTGATGTTGTTGCCTTACTCCACCAGAATATGCAATAGTTGATGGCGCCAAAGAGAAATTTGGTTTGACATCTTGTTGCTGCAAATGTCGAGTGTCATTTTCACAAGATACAGATTGAGTTAATTCTTGAAGGTATTGACCAAAAACGTTGTCAGAATTGACATCAAATGATGGGAAATGAGGTCCACTATTGGTCAATGAAGAATTAGGATCGATGATTGGTGTCATCAATGAATCATTGTTGGTCTGAGCTTGTTTGACTTGAAGGTGCGACAAATGGTGAGGTAAAGATGATTTTCGTTCATCACCCATTTCAATATCGTTGGTAAGTAATGAAGAGTTAGGTGAGGGAGATGGAGAAGGTGATGGGGATGGAGATGACAGTGACGATAGGGATGGAGTGGATGAAGGAACAGCAACAGTTGAAGAATTTGTTTTAGATGAAGCTGTAATATCAAAATTAGAAGTGGCAGAAATAGATGAATTATTGTAAGCAGCTACAGCAGCAATAATACCAGAAACCAAAGGATTTGACTCGTCGATTGGAGTGAAACCTTTCAACTCTTCTGATGGGGTCTTTAGATTGTCGAAGAAATCAACTTGAATTTCTTTTTCGATGTCCTCGTCAATAGAGAGATCACCGATGTAACGATCAGACTCTGTTGGTACGTCAAAGTCGATAAATTTAGAGATTATTTTACAAGGATCTTTATAAAGCCCTGTGTGTCGTGAAAGGGTAAAAGGTAAGCTAGCAGTTAAGTCCAAATTCAAATTGCGATCAGCACAATTGTGGAACAGCATGGCACTTAATAATTAACTGGATGCCAGTTTGGCCAAATTATGTTGATAATTTAATAATAAAACAACGCAAAAACCAAGCGAAATTGTGTTGACAGTCAACTTTAATCATTGGAAATACAATTCCAAAATAAAATGTGAAGTTCAATTGTTTCCAAAACAAAACACAAGTAAAGCACCGGGAAATAAGAAGCGTTCACTGGTAGAAAGATCGCAAAAGATCTTAATTTAATCCAAATCCAGTTGAAACACGGTAAACAATTGAAAAACCAGGTTTAATTATGTCCAAATGTTGAATGTCAACAAACACCGAGAATATAAAGTTGACTAATAACTTTATAAATGTTTTAACTTAATGAAGTGTTGATGATGATTTAATTTGTTAATTTTATTAATTAATGTTGTATTGAAATCAATTCTTAGTTATGTCAAAACAAGTGAATAAAAATTAAAGAAAATTGTAAGAAAAAAGACAAACAAACTTAACAACAACAGATTAATTGTTCTCACACTTCGGACTCTCAAAAGTTGTTTGAAAAACAAATCATTTTTACCTCTCTTTATATCTGGTTACTCATCCCACCGACAACCAATGAGAAAAAGCATGACGTCACTTTCAACCAATCACAAGCCGAGAAATAGAGTGATGCAATCCAATTCCGCGAAAATAGAGTAGTTTCCCCCACTTTTTCCCTCTTCTCTCTCTTCCTCTCAACTCATTTCATTTAATACGTCATTCCCGTTCCCTTTTTTTTCCTCTTCATCATCACCATCAACATAATAATCATCATTATCATCATTATTATTACCAGTTTTCTCTCTTCTCTCTCTCTTCTCTTTCTTTATCTGTTTCTTTCTCCCATTAACATATTGTTTGTCTCAACCTCGTCTACAGAAAGTTTAACATGGTAAGTCTATCTTCAGTTCATTTCTTCCTCTCATCTCAATCATTAATATTTACATAATTCTCAATTCTTTCTACCTTTTTATTACCTTTTAATTTTTCTTCTTTACCTATTCATGAGGCCTTTCTCATCAAGCCTCGTCTTTTATTTCCAATGACAATGTTAGCAAGTTCAATGAATCAATTAGTAATCATTTCTCTCCACATTTGCTTATTTCTTTTGCTATCTTCTGACTTTTCACTTCCATTGAATTTCATTTCCTTGGTTTTCTAATCATTTCTTAGCTCTTTCTTTCACTCTCACTTTCTCCTCTTTCACCTTGTGTCAGTAAGTTTACCCTGTTTCCAGATTGTCGAGGTCCTGTTACTTTCAGTAATATGTGTTTATTTTAATTTTATAAAATTATTAGAGTGAGTCTAAAAATTCCATTTTCTTACTTTTTTTTCTCTTCTGTCAACTGTTGACTCGCTATCACTGCTATTACCAAAACTAATAATTGATACTTTTTAATCTGATTATAGCACAAACTAAACCACTAGTTAAGTGCAGGTTTAAAATGTTTAGCAGCAGAAAAAAAAGGTTAAACTTAAATTAAGAATCATAAAAGAAAGGGAAAAAGGGAAAAGTAAGAAAAAGTATGAGTCATCATTGTTGTTCAGAAATCCCGCTTGAAATAAAAAAAACGTGTTTAGTAAATACCCAATCAGAAAATTGTATGACGTCAGTGGCTATCCATTGAAACATAAATACATGAAAAAATTAAAATTGTTTCCTCCCAATTCTCATTCTCAAGTATTCGTCATCCTTATCATCATCAACTAAATGAAGGAAACGAAAGAATCTAAAAAATGTTGCTGACCAAAGGCGATGTTTCTCTTATTCATCTTCTTTCCGGTTCTCATCTTTTTTTCTTTCTTTTTCTTACTTCTACCACTTCACCAACAACCTCTTTAAGGTGTTCATCATCATAACCACCACCATCATAAGAAAGGAGGAGGTGGGGGAAGGGTCAGGTAAGTAAAATATCGGGAAATTCCCAACCCCGGGCTTCCGAATGTTTAAATTTTTGCTTTTAATCTTCTTCGCTTTTTTTTGTTTTTGACACTTAGCAAAACCCAAAAAACCAGATTCTGTTTCCGCCCCTAAACCGCTCCAAAAGTAAAAGATACATCTTGAAAGTTAAAAATTTTAGTGATGTAATTTGTCGATTGATTTACTGCAATCTGTGCATTACTTGACTTGAATTACACCGTTTATTGACTCTTTTACTGATTCTTTAATCTCATTTCTTGATCTTCCAACACAAAAGCTAATCTGATTCTGGTTCAATGCATTTTTGCTTGTTATTTTCAAAACTTGTCCAAAATTATGACCTAAATTTTGACCAAAATTTACGCTTGAAACTGTTCAATTTGATACAATTTTTGCTGAGTGTTGATATTTATAACTAGAGATTTGTCTTGACTTTATCTAACATTTTCACATTTTCACCTTTTAACATGTACTTGTTTATCTGATCCATGTAATCCTTTCTCTAAGCCTTTTGTTTTCACCTTTAGTCATAATATTGTTTACTCAAGTTAGAAGAAGCAAAATGTCCACTAAATAAACGTTGAAATGACTTTTGGTTGAATCTTGATTTTTCTGGTTTCGTCCGTCTGAGTTTGGGTTTTTTGCCTTCTTTATGCTTCTAATTTCATTTAATTTTCTTCCTTTTTTCATTCATATTTTCAAATGAAACCGATTTCACTGTTGCTTATTAATTAACCGTTTCTCGCTAATTGACTTATCAATCAATGAATTGTATGTTTTATAGTCTTTCTCATAATAATTGTGTGTAATATTGTAACATTAATCAAAAAGCTAAACAAATCAAAGCAATGACGATAAAAAGCAAAATACGAGTTGCAAAGTTTATCACTTTTTTCAAACATCATTTTGCATTTCACTTGAACAAGTCAACATTGAAAAGCAACATAATATTAAAAGAGTTACAACAACCAACCATGAACCTTTCATTTGGTGTGTTGTTATAACATTATCAACTCCCACAAATCTCTCTTGACCTTGAATCTCTTCCACCCCTTTTAACCCAAAAAATGTTGATTCCTACTTGAATCATCATTATCATCATCAAGGAAACAGAGGAAAACGAAATAATCAATTCTCATTGAACTTTAGCATCCAAATGAAAAGCGAGAAGGAAGGAACAGAAGAAGGCAAAGAAACAAATCACTTTCAAGACAATGTGATCAATGTGATTCCAGTGAATTACCAATCAATAAATGTAAGTAAAATTGATCAAACAATAAACAAATATCATAGCTGATTGAACAGTAAACATTGAATATCATTTACATTTATCTCTTTCTTACAGTCTACCTGGTCCTTTCGTTACCTCACTACTCTCACCTCTCACTCTCAACCTTAACTACCTTTATTAATTTAACCTTAAAAAGGAGACGGAATTTACTATTGGCGTCAACGGAAAAGGCAGGCATCAATTATAATCGTTTAATTACAATCAAACTGGTCGACACTTGACTGTTACAAAAACCCGCGAAATAACCATTCCAATTGGGATTTCCAGTGCTAATGTCGCACGCAAAAAAGTTTTCCTTGCTCTTTTTTTTCTTTCTCCTGATAATCATCAAAATTATCACCATTTTCATTTGTTAAACTCTTTTTTCAATTTCTTTTTGAATTTTATTGAAATTGGATTTTTTCTGGAAAACCGAGAAATGAAAAGCAAAAGTGAGTCCACTTCAGTGTCCTCTGTCAACCTCACTTGAACTGTTTTAAAATACCATTACCGTACTTTAAATATTGATTTATCAAGAATATCATTTCCCTATTTAACCAGAAATATAATTCTGGTTAAATTTTCCATTCCATTGATTTACTTTTAAAATTTAATTTTTAGTAACATCAATGAAATTGTGATTTGAGGCCTTCTATTGAAATTATGTCATTTATTTCTTGAATATTTCAATCCCAATCAAATTTTTACATTTTTTGATTAATCGATTGATAATTAGTTGACAAGTTTTTCCAATTAATGAATCAATTGAAGTTTGTAATTTGTAAAATTGAATTTGGATGAAACTCTTGCTTACAAATCAAATATTGACCATTTTGATTCAACAAAAGATTACCAAACAAATGACCAATTTGTTGATTCATCTTTAACAAATAAGATAATGATTATAATTTCTCATTAACAAGACCATTGACAATTGATAATCATTTATTATACACATCAATACAATAACCTTGATATTATAAAGCAATATTGGTCACAAATTATTAGATTTTCACTTGAAAAAGAATAAGGAAAAAGCAAAGTTGACAAATGAAATTGTATTACACTGAAATAATCATTATGCTGATTGTTATTATTTGGAAAGACAGAATATTACTTGGAATTCACAGAACTCTCATAATCCTGGGAAATATTGATTTTCATTTTGACATTTATCTTCTCAATAATAATAATCATAAGTGTAATAGTGAAAGTATTAGTAATAATTTCAACTTATCCACTGAACAATGCACTATTCAATGATTCATCTGAAACATTCTCTTCATGCTTTAATCTTTACTTTCTTCTCATCCTCTCAATCAATCAATCAAACATTATCATCCGTCTAACCAATTAATTTCAATCGTCATAATTAAATAATTTTCTTGTCTTCATTTCAATTCCAAGAAAAATACCTTTCTAACTGTTTTTTTTTCTTCACCCAATTTTTTTACCAGAATTTCATTGTAACCTCACCCAAAGGAACTCAAAGGATTATCTTTATTATCTTGGTTAATGGTTGGTTTGAACACGCAATGGTTGATCACTGGAGAGGCAAAGAACGATTCAATAAAGAGTTCCAAGAATCGTTATCAACATACTGATAGACGCTTATCAACATCATCAACAAATCATTTTTTATTATTTACAGAAAAAAAAATTTCTAGTTCAAAGCAACACCAGATATCATTTTTCAGGCTTCAATGAACTTTTTCAAGTCTCATTTCATTGGTGAATGGGTTTTTTTGCTTTAATGATGAACATGATTATTATGATGAGCTGACCTTCATTAACAATGAAAATTCATGGTAATTAATTATTATGAACGAGAAAAGAAATATTGTCTCATTGACAATAACAGGTAATACTGGGTTAATCTTTACAAAGATATCATGATATGGATTCACCTCTTTCTCCTCTTCTTTCTGTCTAGAATCATTTCACCCTGCACATGGTAACTATTTCAATGGCTGGTGATAACTCTTCGTCTCGTATAATAATTTATTTTACTGGACCTGTGTCAATTTAATTTTCAAAATTGAATGGTTTCTATGAAACAAACATTGGATTTTCGATGCCAGCATTTTCCCCTTTCTCTTCTCATCTTGATGCTGTTGTTGTTTTGAACCAGAAAACCCAAATTTCAACCAATTAATGTAAACAGTATTATTTGTCAACCTAATTATTGGCCCTAATCCAATGAGATGAACACAATTTTGTCCTTTCCATCATTTTGACAATTCATCCCAACTTATTGCAAACCTAGTAAACCTTTTTTGTTGACAAAGAAGAACAGAAAACCTTGAACTGGTCTCAATTTAAGTGTTTTTCATCTTCTTGATCATCTTCTTGGTGATGATCATATTTTTTGGATGAAATGCTCACAATTGTTTCTGGAATGGGTTGATTAATGAAAGATGATATTACAGCTTTAAAATGTAATCTTTCCCAAATATTGGTTGACAACAGACTTATATTCAATGATTACTATTTTGTATTTGAACGATTTTTAATGTTGTTTTGAAAAGCAAAGTTAAATAGTTTCAAGTTTTCATTAAATAACTATTGATCAAGGCCTATCAAGCTATGCAAATCTTTGATCATTAACATTGACTTCATTAAATACATAACGAGTTAATTTGTTTGTTTATTTGCTATTTAAAGAGAGAAGACACAAAACTGGTTAATTTAATAATTTTACCCATTTGTCAGTGCAGGGTAACCACTAGGTTACCTAAACGGTTATTTTACACTGGTTACCAGAACTGATTAGCTGCACAGTTTTGTCAACAATTTAACCATTTTTTATGATTATTATCGTTGACCAGCGTAGCTGGACTAATTTTAATCGCGTCATTTCGTTGTAAATTGTTTAAACCACCGTCACTCGAAGTTATGAGATGAAACCCGAGAGCGAAGCCCGAGGGTTTGCTTCTCATAACTTGTCGATGCAGTGGTTAAATCCATTCGTAAACCGTTCATTGACATTAAAGTAAAATTTTAGTTCCATGTCCTTAGTTTAACAAAATGATTACTTTTATCATTGATTAAGTCAATCAACTAATCAATTTAATTAATTCAATAGGTAAAAAGTGGCAAAACTCAAGTGTTGATTGATATGACAATGGAAAATTGAAATGTCCGCTCAATTTGTTATTGGCTCATTGGTTTCTATCTGATCTCACATCTGTTCACAAGTTGTTCTCAAGATACACTCGCTTTTAATAATGGTGGGCCTTTTTATTATCAACAATTATATACATGATTTTGTTTTGTTTTTTGTTACTGTTTGTTTAAAGAGAGAAAGAAATAAAGAGACGAGAAACGGAAATCTAAATAATTCCACTTCAGGTAACTATGAGAGGAAAATGTTTCCTCGTCTGTCCTCTCTTTGCTCCTAAATTATACTTGTTGCTTTATCAATCTAATGTTTTTTCCCAATTTCAGGATTGTACCTCTTACCTAGTTCCTGCTGATTAAATTCATCATCAATTTGAGCTGTTAACAGGTTCTGTTTTATTCCTCCAAAAGCCTTGCTAAATGTTTCAATGATCAAATCTGATCCATCTCGACTGTCTACAAGGTAAAACTTGAAGGTAAGCAAAAATTGAAAGGTTTCAAAAATTTTCAATACACCATTTTGTTTTACTTGATTTGTTATGTTTACATGTTATTGATGCCTTTTCTGTTTGTTTCATTTCAGTCATTATACCACACATTAATCAATCAAGATGGTTTCATGAAAACAAAGAGTTGAAAGAAAAATAGATTCAAGGGAAGGAACCATTTTTCCCATTAAAAAGGCTTCTCTGGAAAAGAAAAAGATTTCAACCTTTTGATGAGGATGAAAAATCAAGCTTAATCATAATCGTGTTGGCAGAGATTTCAATTTGAAGTGATTTCCGGCGATGAGGAATCAGCAACTATTGTGGTTTTCCTCAGAAAATGACTCATACTTGTTTCTTTTTTCTCTTTCCCCTCTTTCTTGGTATAACTCATTCTGTATACATGAATGAATCAAAACTACTGAGTAGTTCAGTAACAGAGAAAGCAGTAAAGAGAGAAGTTATCCTTCTCTCTTGTCTTCCTCTCTTCTGCTCACTCAAAATACAACAACACACACAATGATGAATCATCACCATAAGTATCTGAGTCTTCTCAGAAACTTCAAAGGGTGTCTCATATTTGATTCACTTGATGAAGGGTTGCCAACTATCATTATGTGTACTCATTGTTTGTCTTCGTTAGTTTATTCCTTTACGTTTCATGCTTTTCATCTTACTTTTCGCATTGCATCATGATACTCTGGATAGATAGAGTGATGCAATTTATCTTTCTCTTTCTCTTATTCACGCTCATCTTCTTGCTTTTATTGTTGTGCTTATATCATTATGTACCAGATATTTCTTGATGATAGATAACTTTCTTTCACTCTTGTTTACAAATTCCCCCTCTTCAGAAGAAATTACTGAAAGATTTAATGATAAACATCAACAGGAAAATAATTATTCTTTAGTCATCATACCTGAGAAATGTTGTTGACACTTTTAAAAACACCGACGGAAATGCCTAATACTTACTCATAGCAGCACGGATCTTTGTCATATCTAATGCCAATTAATTACTCATCGTCATTTAATAACTAGATTATTAGTTTCAGCATACTAAACAAAATGAATTTATCGTGTTTTAGAGATTTCAAATCCTAGTTTCAAACCAATTTAGCTGATAATTCAAATCGCTTCATCACTTGTCAACCTTTTTTTCCAAAATACTACTTGTTTACAGGATTGACGTTGTTAATCACGGTAGCTCTATTTATCATCAATTAATAAGTGATTCTCGTTAATTCTGATTCACCGATTTGTTAATTTTCAATCAACATGTTGAATAATTTCCTAGAATTCAATGCATCATAGTTAGTAAATGACTCAACTAATTGCTATATTTAATTCTTTGATGGTCCAATTTAGCGAAACTTGGCGATAACTATCGATTCTTAAAGATTAGATGGTGATTCTCGAAGATAAAAATACAATTGGTAATAAGTAATTGTCGAGATTTTATTGTTAGTTTCCACTTTGACAAGAAATAAATCGGCCTGATCTTGATATGCTTAAATTAGGTCCATAATTTAAATCTCCGAGTATAATTGATTGGAAAAAATATTTACAAAAGATATAAACATCCATCATAGTAATAAGATAAATTTCAGAGAAGATCAATAGGAAATTATTTTGGATTCCTGTATTCAATCTTGCTTCTCAAAGTTTTGACTAAGGCAAGATAAGGCAAGTTGATTAGTTGGGTTTGATTGGTACAGAGGTAAAAGAAGCTTTCAGGCTGGTTCAATTCAATTCTAACTATTATAAATATAGTGACAACCGTAAAGAGTTGAAGATCATTACAAAATACTTGGATGATGACTATTGGTCCATTGATTGGTGTAAGTGATTATGTTAAATTGGAAATTTAGGCTACAAAGGTGGTCACCGTTTTCTTGACCATATCTCGAGCATATGGTATATAAGAAATGGAATACCAAGTCATAGCCAGGAATTGACAAACACAGAGTAAGACAGTTAATGCAGTTTTATGCCAATGGAGACCAGAAACAAGCGTTAAAACCATGAAAACAACGACAAGTATGGTGGCTATATAACGCGTCTCATTAAACATTTTTTTAAGTTGCTTCCATGGTCCCATAAGGAATAATGTTGAGGCCATTGAAGTAAGGTTACCAACAGTGTAGAACATAGCAAAAAGTACTAAACCTTTGCCTGGTATCGCTAAAAATAGGGATCCAATGATGGAAAACACAAAACCAAGAATGAAACATATGAGAAATCCTTGAATCCGGGTTGACCAACTTAAGGATGTTGACTCACCCAGCTGTTTACAAAAGAGAAATGGAGAGAAAGCAATAAATATAAAATTAGACTCTAATCACAAGTGTAATCACGGTAAATCAAAATAGAAACAAATCGTTCATTTATATGATTAGATAAACCATATTGATACAATCTTGATACATATGATAAAAAAGGAACTTTGCTTCACAACATTCACCGGCTCAGCTTTACGTCAAAGATGTTCATAAATGAAGAATCAACAAGTAGGTTGAACAAAACTAGGTTCTTAACTTGGACGAACTAAAATCTATCAAAATGAATCCCCACAGATTTTATGGACAGTGGACATGAAACTATTTAAAATTTGATAGATACTAAAATTTATTATTTACCTGAGCTGCAAAACCTTGTTGCTCTGAATTATCATCACCGCTCAATGCCCGCCTCAACTTATCCATAATTTTTCAATGAGATCTTATTAAAGAAAGAAATTTTACAGCAAACCGGATGCAAGAATAGTCACAAGAATAGAAAATACAATTATAAATAAAATAACTTAATCAGAAAACAAATTAATTATTAATTATGAACAAAGACACAAAAACATATTCTTGAGGCGTTAAACCAGAAATATTGCTTATCTGTCTCGCCAAATTAGATATGAAACTTAAGGCGCCATCTAATGAAGCGTTTACTAACTCTTAAGCGGTTTCACGTTAGTCTGAAATATTAAGATTAAAATATAATTTATATTAACTTCAAGCTCAGATTATTTGTTTCATGAGATCAATTTCCAATCTGATAGTAAATTAAATAATCATACATAACTGGAAAATCCAAAGCATCTGCCAAACCATAATAGTCATTTGAATGTACATGTAATGAACTGTAATGAACGGTTACAATTTATTATACAATGAAAGACGGTTTGTTGGGTGAATTGTTGCATAGTTAATTATTCAGATTTTCTCCGAAATCTCAGAATATTAATTATCATCTTTATCTTCTCTTTGATATTTTAGTTGACTTTTAATAACTATTGATTGAGATGTCAAATTAAACCGCTTTTTATTTACTAGTGTTATCAATCGAAAACAGATGGCGTATTTTGAATAATAATAATAACTGTCAGAATTAGAGAGAAAATTTGTTTTGCTTTTTCTTTCTCATATTCAGTGGCTGAGTTAGAAGATGAAATTGATGGTGTATAGAATGCGATTTAACTGTTACTCAATATGCTGGAAATAGCAGAATAATTATCATTAGTGTTTAAACGTAAATGGGTAAATCAACCATGAAGAATGGTCATTTCACGCGAAAAGTTAAAACCAAAAGCAAGGTAACCATTTTTTCATCATTCAATGATAATCATTCATTTCTTGGCTCCTTTTCATTTCATTTACTATTCTGTGTTTGTTTTTCATTCCTTACATCATACATTTCCAGATAAATATCTTTGGATTTGTTTGAAATTATATCATTGGTTATAATTTGGTAGAAAGGTCATCTTTTTGTGTCTTTGTGAAAACCATCTTACCCATCGATAAACCACTAATTCATCTATTCTGTTTACATTTGCTTCATTAATTTCCTTTATTACACTAATTTATCGTAACTGTTTAATTCTGTTATCGTGACAATTAATAATTTTCGTGTTTCAATTGGTATTTTGATAATTTAGGATAATCAAACAATGGCCATCACCGAGAGTAACATACACAACGCTTGGACCTTGGTTAAACAGTTGACTAATGCTTTAAGATACTTCCAAGATGCTGTGGAAAAAGAGATTCACAATCAATTACCTGGAGCTTCATCAATCCTTTTAGACATAGTTGTTTCCTGTTACACCGAGCTTGGTGCATATCTCATTAATAAAGATCGAAGGTAAGGTTATAGTGATTTTTTGTTTCTCTTCCGCCGGAATCTATTCCCTGTGATTATATTTCTGAGTTTACTATTTTTTGTACATACTCTCGTTAATTTTCATCTCTGCTTTACAATTCCATTCTTCATTTTTTCTCTTCACACAATCTTTTCATCAATTTTTTCCCATCATTACTGTTACGTTAATTAAACTCGACGAGGGAAATTGTATATAAAGTTAACGGCCTGATATTTCAAACATTTTGATTGCTATTGCCTTTGTTTCAACAAATTGATCAGCAAGCTTATTTAGACATTTCATCCTGTTACATCTTTGGTTCAACTTTTTTTGCAATCATTATATTATTCCCTTCGTGTCATCAGCTTTTTTCTGGTTATATTATTTTTTTCTAGTTTACCTCAAAAAAAACATTGAGGCAAAACGTAATTAGATAAAAATTATTCGAGCAAGTGGCAGATCAATGAGGCTTTTAGATTAGTTTTTGTCTCAAAAGCAGAAATAAAATCTAAATATTGAGCATATTGAAGAGATGAACTAATTTCCCTATTTTATTATCTTCTCTTGTTTTACAGCGCGAAGATGCTTTCAGCAACCGACAGAGTCTATCTGAGTCTGGCTGAACTGATGAAATGGTCTGACCGTGTTTTAATTGAAGAAGCGTCCAACTACAATCGAGATGAAGTGTCACTTATCGTTGGCAATCTCAAAGAATCAGTCAACGTAAGTAAAAAATGAGAGAAATTTTTCACAATATTTCAAAAAGCTTTCTCATTTATTAACCGTTCATATTTTTGTCATCAGTATCAATATTGCAAACTGATTCTCAACACTATGCACTTGATGAAGTTTTTGATTGATTATTTAATCATCAATATCATTTTTGTTTAATTACCATCATCCATAATCTCACTTCTTCATGGTATGCACCCAATTTATACCATGAAGCTGACAAAAGAGCTTAGACAAAGAGGGAGACACAAAGAAATTAGAAATAATGAATCGTTCGAATATCTTACAATTTAATCATTTCTTCTTTATCTTCCCCTGTCCTACTTTAATTTGTCTTTGTGTACAAAAAATGAGTCAAAGTGAAACACAATACATGTTAATACGTACATTAATATAACTTTCCAGGCTCTACTGTCTCGAGGCATTTTCATTGCTCTTAATTCTTAATCATCTTATTCTGTCTCTTGACATGAGAAGAAGAAAAAAAAGCGAAAAAATAATTGAAAATGAGAATTAGAGAAACCTAGAAGTTTCCAGGAAACAGTAACCCTTTAGGAAAATTCACTTCTCTCCCGTTATATGTAGGCGGTTAAACTATCAAACGAACGTAAATATCGATCCATTTTCATTACACCTTCGCAAAATTTAATCTCACTTACTTTTTTACTTTCTTCTCATCTTTGACTCCCATTCTTACTGTTCATGTCATCTTCAATGCAAACAATTTTCTTTCAATTTTTTACCTTTACATTTTACTTTTTATTTACCTATCATTTCACCTTACCCTTGCATTTAATTTTTAAATTTAATTTTACCTTCTTTTCTTTCTCAATACAAACAGAAGCTTAATTTATTGGATTATCAAAGGGCATCTTTCAAGGGATAAACTACAAAATTTTGGTTGATAAAAAAGACTCTTATTCCAGGCTAATTGATTGATCTGTATTTCAAATTGCTTTATTTTCATCATGTCCCCATGAATGTCTATTTGAGTGCAATGACGTTTTTTGGGTGTAAAGATGAAAAAACCTTTATCCGGTGTACAGACTGTGTATAAATATAAATACATGTATTTATATCGTAAAAAAAGTGAAGTTTGATTTGTTGCAGGGTGCAACCTTTTTGGTTTGCTTTTTCCTTTAGAGAACATGTAAATGATTTGATGTTGTTTGATGAATATGATTAAGGTCTTTACATAATTGCGATTTGATGCTTTTTATAGTATCACTGATCTTACTTTTTCCTCTTTGCACATCTTAAGAAGTCTCTCTCCTCTGAACTATTTTCATTTCACTTTCATCTTTTTTCTTTTCTCCATCTATTCTTGCTCTTCTTTACTCATCTTTGTGTCTCTGTCTGCTCTTAAGTTGGTCATTATTCATTTGAACTTTTCATCGACTTTCATCCATCTTTATGCTAGTCTTGGGCATGTTACTTTCCACCTTTACTGATGATTGATTTACATTAATTTCACGTTTATGTGACTCGCAATATCTTTTTGATTCTTCAATTATTCAGTTTATATCTCGCTATATCATGGTATTAACGTTGAAGAATTATAAAAATTTCATTTTCCATCTCAAATTGAGCTTCTAATTCTCATTGAATGGGGTTTACAGAGGCTTTAAATTCACTCCACCCACAAGTATCAAAATTTTAAAAACAATGAATTCAGTCTTTATGGTTTTATCAAAATGATCCTCAGAGAAATATATTAAACTCACATAATTCCTTATAATTCAAAGACTATCACGATAAGCATGATAAATAAACATTGAAGATGCATTATGAATTCATTTTGAACCACTTATTTCGAAATGATTTCATATTATTTCATTATAATATAATGGCTCTTGAGTTATATGTTTTTGGTGGTTAATTCAATTGAGACTTTTATCAATCAATTAAATATATCAACAATATTTTCATCTTTTTTTATCTAATAACTCTTTTCTTATTTCTTTTTCTTCCAGACTCTAGTCCAATTATGTGTGGATTATTACCAATCAAGAGATAATTTGGTGAAAAGTTCAACGTCTTTTAGTCTCAAGAATGATGAAATTTACGATGATGGCAATCAAAATGATTTAACTGATGGCAATACTCCAGTAAAAGATATCCTAAATTGTACAAACTTTAACTCTCGTAAAGGCTCTAATACTTCCAATCATTCAGAGTTCAGCTTGTCCCATCATCGAAATTCATTACCAGACATGAATCCATTACCATTGTCACCATTGTCAACCTCATTACCTTCAACAGCAACAACGAATACAATTACAGTTTCAACTCATCATCCATTTCCAAAATCAGTCCCATCAGCTTCAATTCCTGTAACCGAAGGCATTTCAAAATTGACAGATAAATTAACTGCTACTCACATTGAGAACCTCGAAGAAACTCTCCATTCACAGAATTCAAAGATGAAAAATTTAAACTCTTCAGGCTGTTATTCAATGGCACACAAAAGCTGCAATAATCCATCTTCATCACCATCGCCATGTTCTGATAGATTTCCTCACTCTTTTTCCTCAGACTCTCTATTGAGCTCTAAAACAGTAGGAAACATTAAAACAGTGCCTCTAAATAATGGATTTTACGCTTTCGATGTACCAGGAGAAGGAAACAGAGAGAGAATCTTTGAAAACTCTAATTTCATTAACAACAATCACAACAAATTACAAGAGACTGGTCGAAGTCAAACTAGCTCATTTGCTAGTAGCTGTGTGTCCTCATCATTATCATCAGCTGGAGTTTCTGATTATCCTGATTTGGATGATATTCCTCCACCTTTGCCACCAAAAAAGAAACAATCAATGACCAATGATCTTAATAAAAGTCCAATAAAGAAACCAACCTTGGAGTACAACAGTACATTCGAGGCTTTACAACTTGATTCAACGCGTGTATCCTCAGCTTCATCATCATTTAACTGCCAATCAACCAATGCGATGACGTTTGAAACATTTTCCAGCCGAATGTTATCTGACCGAAATGATTTAATAACTGGCGTTAATCATGATACCCCAGATTATAGAAACCCACAAGTCACTAATAATTTTTTACCAAATTCTGGTCACGATACTTTTTCTAGTCGAACTACAACATTAACAAAGACATTTGCGCAAAAATCACAACAATTTCCAATGGTTACTCAACAAAATTGTCTTATTCATTGTCCTGATACCCGTGGCTTGAGATCAAGTAAAGATGGTATCAACAATCAAATTGACCATTTGAATGGTAAAATTTTGGAGAAAAGTTCAACAATTGAAGGTGAATCGCCACCTGAAATACCTGTCAAGCTTCGTCGTCGCTACTTATTTCCAAATGACTCTATCCAATGTGAAGAAATTGTTCGCCCTCCTTCCCAATATGACAATATTTCAGATATTGATTCAACTTCAACACATACCTCATTGTCCTCTACTTCAAACAACACTCGTAATGATCGTCCATACAAATTTGACTGGTCTTCAACCTCAACCTGGCAGTCCAGCAATCATTCAATATCATGTCCTCTGCATTTATCCCGTCAAGCAGATTCCATTTCTTCAAACGGACAATCAACAGGTTCAAATTGCGAAGAAACTGAAAATTTTTATGAAGATTTTATTAAACCTCCTCCCTTACCACCAAAACAACGCAACATAATGACTTACATGACAATGCTTAACAATAGTGAAAAATATGATGGACCAAATGATGCCGTTTTAAATCTTTACCGACACTCTGTCCATGCTTACCATTTAGTCAATTCATCTAGTAAACTTAACTCTTGGCAACAGATGGAGACAACCTTCAACTCGCAACGATGTCTCAAGAAAATTTCATCAACTACAACTGGCTCAGACGATTCAATTTTATCCCTCGAATCAAGCTCGGAAACATCTTCCACAAACATTGCTTACCATCGAATGCATGGTGATATTGATCCAGATCTAGATAAACCTCCAAGCCTTCCGCCCAAAGCGAAATCGCAAATTCACCTTCAATTACAACAAATTAATCAACTTCATCAAAAGCAACAACAACATCAACAAATAATATTAGAACAATCAAAAATAAAGCCTCAAAAAACGGTACAATCACAATTTCCTGAATCCCAATCTATTAATCAATGTTCAATCAAAATTGATCCTGATATTGAGTCTGAAATGGCACCATCTGAACCAGCAGCAAGTTCACCAGTAAACTTGATTCCTTCATCTGAAAGGTAAATATTACATAAAAAAGCGAAAATTATCAATTATCAGAAAAGCGCATAAATTGACGAAAATGAGTAACAAGCTTTCAATTTACCGTAATCCTCTTTTACCACTAACAAGTCCGTAAACAAAACATTAATCCCTTCGAGGCAACCAGAAGAAACTAAAGTAAATCCTTCTGTCTATCAATGGCTCCACCTTTTACACTCTTGGAGAGTAGCTTTTGCTTAGCAATAACTCGTTATAAGTAGGAGGATTTTTGAGTCCATCTTAAGGATTAGTTAACAATCTTTTCTCTCCCTCCTTCTCCTTCTTCTCCCCCAACATCTTATCTTATTCTCTCCCTCGCCTTCTCATTCGTTTATCACAATTTGATATTAAGTTTATTTAAAGTATGACAGTCACTGAGAAGGCTATTATCACTTTTCGTGTATCCATTTTATTGATCACTCAATTGTCATTGAACAGATGATCTTATCAAATGATTGTTAACATATCGTTGGATACTTTCTTACAACTCTAATCTAATATCACAATTGAATAAATCAACAGTGTTTTTGTTTTATTGTTTGTTTGTTGCTACTGCAAGTTGCTGCATTTTCCTCATGAGCTTAATTCAATTCACTTGAAACGAAACCCTCCTTAAAACCTTTTATTGATTGTTTCTCAAGATGAGCCTTTTAGTTCATGTGTTCACCAAAACCAATAGTTTATTTCGTAAACTAAGTTTAATTTCTAATTGTAGTGGTATAAGTTCACAATCGGAAACCATCAGGACAACAGATGAGTGCCAAGGTCCACTTGATGAAATTGATGTTTCACCCTATCTAGTCTACAAAAATTCCGATGAAGATGGTCCAGATATCAAAGGAGGAATCATTGATGTACTTACTGTTAAAGCCACTGAAGTTTCCAAAAATGGTAAGTTTACTTAAATTGTCAATTTTCACAATTCCCTTTTAAATCACAATCAAATTGCTCATTCAATATTTATTCAATTTTTGTCCAGATTTTCTCTTCCAAGAAGCATTTCTTACAACATATCGAACCTTCATCAACCCATTGGAACTTATTAATAAATTAATTTACCGGTACAACAAATTTACAAATTACACCGACTCTAAACAACGAGCTGCCAAAAATTCATTTGCACTTTTGGTCCGAGTTGTTGATGATTTATGGTAAGTTCAATATTTATCATTGACCGTCAACTTGTTGCTTGTGACTTTCATTGTCTTTGGATTAGTGTCTTGTCATCAGCTTGTATCTCTATTAGTCATTCATTGTTCATTATCTTATCTCTTATGTTTAACAAGGATTCTAACTCAACAATCAACTCTTTATTTAACTTCACTCAAATGAACCTCCAATCATCAATTATTATGATTAACCTTTCTGACTTTTAATGCTTTCCATGCATTTAATAAGTGCGTTTTTCAAGAAAAAATATATTTCTTCCAATCTCCCAACCTTTAAAAACTTAATTTTATCTCAGTTTCATGTTCATTTTTAGTAAAGACTCAATCAGGATGAACAATACCAGATACTCTGAGTATTAAACTTAACATTTCCCGCTTTAAATTGTAAATTGAATTCATCTTTTGAGTGAATATCAGACTTAACCATCAAGACATTGTTAACCGTTTCTAATTATTTACATCAACATTTGATACTCAAGCAGCTTGATTAATTTAGTTTCTGTTCATTTAAATATTGATACTAATACGATAAGTAGATTAGTTTGAACTATTTAATGTTGAATAACCATTCTAACCTGTTGACATTTCATCCCGAATTACATCTTCATCTTTATCAGTCAAATGTTACTTCTGTTGCAAGTCGTAAATCAAAGAAGCAATTGATTGATATCAGTAGAAAAAAGTTTTCAATTTATAAATTATTTGTCACGTTCAATTGAATAACTTTTTCAATTCACCTCAGGCAATTTAAATAGTATCAACGTGAGGTTGATTTTTATTATTGATTTTACTCTTTCAATGTTCATTTCTTTATATAAATATATATCCTCATTATATTGCGATTTGTCGCCAAGGGTATTCAACACTGAATTTTGCACTCACTCATAAAAACTTTTTTTTTCAATTCAACTATTGAAACTATCAGCCGTTCAGTTGCCTATCAATTTGATCAACAACCAATTAAGGTCAATCTAATTTAAACGACAACGAATGCTTCATTGGAAAGTGATCTTGTTTGCCTTCTGCTTCTGTTGAAACCTTTAACAATTTATATTCAATTTAAGACTCACTTTTCTCCAGGATTAACATCATTTCATGTGAATTTTCACTTTCTCTTCTAGTAACAATTATCTTTCAACTTAACTCAACTTTTCATTTCAATTGAACCCATTTTCCTCTTTCACTTTTCTGGACAATCTTAATAGCTTAAACTAAATGAAAAAGTTAATTTCTATCCTTTACTAGTAATCAGTTGAAATTGGTCCACTTAAGGGAATCAAAGTATTAGTTTAAGAAAAATATTTTAAAAGTTGTTCCAACTAATCGTCCCAATCAGGCAAATAATGGTAACCATTGATAATAACAGTTTTAATATTTATTGTCACCAAATGTATGATTTGGGTTTGAAAATTGTTGCCGATAATAACTGTAATTGGCCTTAATGACCTCAAATACAAATGAAAATCTCAATCAGCTTTTCAATTCAATCATTTACAGTTGTAACCATTAAAATACAACAAAAATAAAAGTTAAAACATTGATTGGTCTTTATTTTTGCTTTTATTACAATCGGTAGCAAACCTTGTTGAAGCAAAAAAAATGACTTCACATCTGACAGCAAAACTAATAATAAATCTCCACTAATCTACTGTTAACCAACTAATCTAACCAAATCCTAATCCTAATTTAACCCAACAAACCTTCAATCTTTGACCAAAATTCAGCTTTAATCTCCAGTGAAAAGCGTCAATGTCGATCAATAAAATCAATTGAAATTCACATATTTCAATGACTATCCATAAATATTTAAAGTAAAGTTAACAATATCAACAGATTCACCGACTTTATTGGTTCAACAATATTGAAAAGATAAACACAGAAAGTACTTATGAACATGTAAACAGCAAAAACACACAACGCATTGTCTTTTAAGGCTGACCCGATGCTAGTTTAAATTGTTTGCAGTAATAATTGATTTAAAATTGATCGCTTTTTTGCTCTTTTCACTGCTAATCTTTATCATCTTGCTCCAGCATTCTTGACTTTTATACACAATATTCACACGCTTAGACAAACATCTTTTCATCCATATTAATCGCACACTTTCGTTGAACATTTAACGTTCCAACATGAGTGAACAGGAAACGAGTTACACAGGATGTTGCCTGTCTCTATGCATTTACAGCTTTGCACCATGAAAATTGTAAAGGTGCATCGATACTTTTTTTACCTCCCTTTTCATTGTTTACAAGGCGTCTTTATGCAGATTATTATTATTGATTGTTCACTTTCACTTTACTTGTTATTTCCTATTTGGGCAAATAATTTCATCTTTTTGGTTCACAATTTAATGTTTCTAGGAAAACAATTGATTTGACACTTTACCGATGGAAATTAATGTTTAATTTTGTTAATCATTTGTTTTCACATATCAACACATGAAATTGCTTTTGTTTCTGTTAAACTTTCCCATTATTTTGCACCAATATGTGACCAGGTCAAGGTCAATATTTGATTGATTGGTTATATTGAAGAAATGCTTAACTACAAAAACAAAGTCTTGTTCAAACCAAACTTACACTGTTTACATGAAACTTGAACAAAAAAAGTCTTGTACTTTTTTGCACGTAAATTTACGCTTCTTTGGTTAACCCCGTTGGTTACACACAATAGATTGACCTTAGTTTTTATTCCCTGATTTTCCTGCATTAGGCCACCCAATGAAATGTTGGGGCTTTACATTCTCATTAACTTTTCGTTTACCTTTTAATTTACTTGCAACCTGATCTAATCAAATTAGCCACAAATATCTTACCTCAATTGATTATGAAAAAGTAACCATTACTTTGGTCCATTTTTACTTCCCATACCCAAAATTGAACCATAAGAAGATTAAAAGGTTGAATGAAACCTCCTATCGAGTTGACTACAACTGCTACTATCAATTGTAATGCGAAAAAAAAACAAAACAGAAATGAAAAATGGCCAAACATGAAAATGTATTATTTATAAATTAGTTGTTAAATGTTTGATCATCTTCAACTGAATCTTCAACTGAATTTTCAACTGCATCTTCTTGAACGCTCTTATTGCTACTCTTTTTTTGCTACTTTGCACAGTTTCATTTCGCTTCACCATTGATGCTGTTGATATACTTTATTGATGCTGTACTTTGTTTTTTCATTTAAAACTTCATCTTAATTTATATATTGTAGCCCTGTTGATGTGTATAAGTTGATTTAAACGGCAACCTTTATCTAATCTGCAATGCAATGTAGGAGGCATTCAGTTGATCCTCAAGTAAAGCAATGAATTAAAATGTTCTTAGGAAATGATCATTTTAATGGTTATATCTCCATCTCTTGTCTCTCTCTCACTTCAGACTTATCTTTTCATCATAAACTTGAAATTGATACAATTTTCATGGCATCCTTGAAAATTTTAAATAAATGACAATCATGATGCAAAAAAAGAGTCTTAAGGTTGCTCAAAATGAATGTGTTTCAATTTTGCAGATAAACGATTCAACCTTTGAATGGCATTAATGATTTAGCAATTATTCATTATCAAAGTATCAGTCTAACTTGCCCAAAATACCGATCTTAATACACAAGGCTAGACTTTCATCGATACACTTCTTTTGCAAGCCCATTTTTTGTCCAATTTTTTACCTCTTCTCTTCAATTGCGGGTTTTCTCAACTGTGTCAGTTGTAACCAATTAAATGATTATCCAATTTTACATTTGCTATTAATTTTACAGTTAATTATCATTGCAAACCTCTTCACCTTCCTGTTTCAACAATGTTTTAATTAAGCCAATGTTATGCTTGATTGTCAAGGTATCACAAAATCAACATTATTACCAGAATGATTGTTAGCGCTTTTGTTTGTTTGTACCTGATGTGACAAAAATAAACTCTGATAGTAAATAAAGGTTCGTCATGCAACTGATGATTACCTGAGCACTGCTCAAGCTTACTCATCCCTTAATCCTCATCATTTCTCATTTGTAACCTGCTTTGTCTTTAACCTTCTGTCAAATGTTTCTTGACCTATTTTACCGGGGAACATGATGATTATTGAATATCGTCATTAATCTTCCTAGCAACTTCTAAACTTGATAATTGATAGTTGAACAATTAACAGTTACTTGGAAATTTGGTCTCATTTATTGAGCCTTACACTGCTGATAGCCTTGAAAATGTAAATTAGTGAAAAAAGTAGTTTTGTGTAAATCAACAATCATTTCAATAACACAATAATGTCGACTGAATATTAACTGTTTTAAACATTTGTTGAAATTGCAGCTAATTAATTGTGATAACGTTGACATTAAAATATACTTTACATAATATGATCATTTTTAATATCAAAATGATACATTATATTGTTTTTACTTACAATAAAAAGTTGTCATCATTAACACCAGCAATTAACGGTTCAACAAATAATGTGAATAAGGTCTGGCATTAATAAGCCAACTATTTAGCTCGACTGTAAAAATGTGATTACAATCAAACGTTCAATGAAACAATAAAATTAGCACAATTAATTCGCAGTTAGACTGGCAAATAAACACCAAAAATGTAACAATTCACACCTACACATGAAACCTCAAATAATGCAACATCAACTGTCCAAAAAACGCATCAGTTCAAAGTTTTTTTTCATTCTCTTCTTCTGAATCTTGACTCAATCTTCTTCATTGCTTTTTAATTATTTACATTGAAACTGTCCCCATTCTTCATCTTCTCAATTGAACTTTTTCTCAACAATTAATTCACTGTTACCTTTATTTGGTTGTTGCCAAAAAAACAATATTTTCAAAGTTGAGTTGTCCCTTTTGCCTCTCATATCAATTTCAGTTGTGAAATGTGAAGCAATCAAGGATAACTATCATGATCCTCTTCATCAGCATCATTCTCCTAACGTATCTGTTTGAGATCCTGGTGCTTTGAAAAAGAAGTTTCTTGTGAAAAATTGTTCTCACGCCTGTAAATTGTACTTTTTACAGAGTAAAGTCTTTCTCAGACTCATATACAGAGTCTACAGGTGAAATGAACAAAAAAACGTTTGCTCACGAAAAAAAAATGTGTCATGTTTTTGAGTTTCATCTTTTTTTCCCTTGAATCATCATTCTCTACCTTTCTCTAGCATTTCAACCTGTCTCTTTATTCAATTCATTCCGATAGTCTGGATTTATTTATCTATCTTCATCATCTTTCATCCATTTCTTAATTCTATGACTTTTCATGTTCCTCCATGAATCAACTGACTAGTCTTCATGTAATCCATCTTCACAAGTATCAATAGTGTCTTTCAATTTCACTCTCTTCCCTCCTGAAGTTCAGAATATCATCTTCCTAGCAAAATACAGTCATTATTGTTCAAAAAAAGTAGTTTTCAATACATTTCCAACTCACCTTCAAGCAAAGTTCACTTTTTCATAGTTGAATTGAACATTTACCAATTAACGGTGATCAACAAAATAGTTAACCCTTTTCAAATGCTCATCACCATCTTAAATCATTTTCATGACAATGATGAGATACAAAAATGTAAAACCTCGTTATCTTTTTGAAACATTTTAACGTCAAAATCAGTCGTCCATTTCGCATGTTTTTTTACCTTGTTTCTCAGGTTAAAACATTACTTCCTCACTCATAAATATTCAATGCACTTTCTCTCCGATCTTTCGGTATTTTGATTTGTTTCATTTTTCCATCTTCAAACAAACCTCTCACATCTTATCCGTTCAATTGAACCTTATCTTTGAAATGTCCTCAAATGATCCTTGACAATTGTTTAGGTCAAGAACAATTGATTATTTACCTTTCAATCTTTTCCACCATTTCTCTATTTACTGTAATCATAATACTTTTGCCTTTTTATTGTTTCAATTTAACCCTCAGAAAAAAATGTATTAATTGCTATTTTATACTCAACTGTTTACATTTAATACACAATTGAACACTTTGCTCATTTTTTATCAGTCGATGGTCACACGCACAAATTTGCATCAATTTACATCAATTTACATAATCATTAAGGATCATCTCTCATTTACAATTTACTAATCATTTTCCTTCTCTTTTGTTTCATGTTGCCACCATTGGATCCATTTAACGATAAAATGATTACTTTTCTGGTGATGATATAATGTTCGTAATGGGCCAAAACACACATTTGCTTTACCGCAATGGTCAATTTACACGCAATGCTAATTATATCTGGTTACACAATGACTATTACAATTGATTGTGATTTGTTTAGTGTTAGTGATTGTAATGATTTACTGATGCAAACCCTTCTAGAGTTTATCTATTCTTTGGTGATTAAAGGTGACCTCACCTTTGCCCGAGTCTTACGTGCTAAAGTAATTGAAAAATTTGACAATCGTCGTAATGGTTTAACTGGTAATCAAATACTCCTTCCATCGGTCAACATATCTTCACGAAGCTGGTCTCTTCATAATTTTAAATCGGAAGTTGTGGCTGAACAAATGACTCTTCTGGATGCTGGTCTTTTCCAGAAAGTCGAGGTTGCCGAATACCTGCTTTGGGCTCGAGAACAGAAAGAAGAGTTGATACCAAATTTAAACAAATTTACCGAGCATTTCAACAAAATGTCTTATTGGACACGATCTCGAATTGTTGAAATTGAAGATCCCAAAGAGAGGGAAAAACTTGTCACTAAATTTATCAAAATTATGAAACATTTACGGAAAATGAACAATTTCAACTCTTATTTAGCTCTTCTTTCCGCTTTGGATTCAGCTCCAGTTAGACGATTGGAGTGGCCTAAAAGTATTACCGAATCAATGAAGGATTTATGTTCACTCATTGACTCTTCTTCATCTTTCCGAGTCTATCGACAAGCTTTAGCAGAAACTCAGCCACCATGTATACCGTATATTGGTTTAATTTTACAAGATTTAACCTTTGTTCACATTGGAAATAGTGATTATCTTCCTGATTCTGCAGGAACCAACATTAATTTTGCCAAAAGATGGCAAATTTTTAATATTTTAGACCAAATGCGAAGATTTAAAAATAGGTAAGTCATGAGTTTTTCCCAACTCTGATTATTTCACTTGAAGACGAGACAATCCCAACCCTTAACAGTATTTGTTTCAATTTACACCAAAAAAGATCAATTGATAAAAATTGATTCACTTGTCATTCATTGATCAATCGTCTCCTTCCGGACTTGTGTCATTGACATTTCAGGGAAACCCATCTTATTATTAATTAATAGAAATCATGAAATTTTCCTAAAATTCCAATTTTTGATGCTCAATTAATCTTATTCAGTTTCTATTCAAAATTTTCACAAACTTCCAGTCTCAACAACTAATTGAGTTTGGAGCAATTGTTGGTTTCAATTTCATTCCATCAAAAGTTCAACATTTGAGCTGTTTGATCAAACTTGATTGATTATCAGTTTCTTTGTAATATCACTTTCTCATAGACTTTTCATCGTTTCTTCACCAACTCCTAGCATCGGATCAAATTGCTGATTGCATTTCTTGTTATTGCTTATTCGCGCTTAACTGCTTTTTACCATTTTTGTGAAATTGTTTTTCAAGTTTAACGCCTAAAACACAGTTTATTTACATCTTTTTGTGGCCATTTACTGTCTCTTATGATTAGCTGTTTCATTGTACTGTTTGTCCAAATGTAGATTGAGCTTCTTGGAAACTGTTAATTGCTTATAATTTCAGAGTCCGTTATTTGTTTTGAGCACTAAAATTACCCTGTAATAGCAATATAACTGCATAAATATTGCTTCTGTTTGCAACTTACATCTTTATTACTTTTGCTAGCATTTGGAATGAAAAGATTGCAAGATTGCAACTTTAACATTTATTTTTGTCAATTTTTCCCTTCCAATATCAAGTTTTCATTTTCATCTCTTTTATTTCAATCATCATAATAATTATATTTACCCTTTTTAGATGTTTATCCAATTGTTAATCAATTGATGCTTAACCAACTCACATGTTAGAGTCAATTTAAGATCTTCTTCCTCTTTTCAAATGCTGTTGTGATCAACCGTTAAAATATTATCTTTTATAATATTCACATTTCATTGATTTTTCAGGACTTGAAATGTTTATTGAATATAACGATAATTTTAGTTAACGTTGAAAGTGTAAAAAAAGGATGAATAGGATCTAGGAAAGGAACTTGTTTATCAGTTTTCAGTTGCATCTTCTTCCATATTTGGATGAACATGAAACATTTAACCTAATTGTAAGACATTTCATGAGGTGCTTAAGCCTTATAAAAGACATTTTTTATCAAAAAAAAGACTTAAAAGTTCTTAAATCCAGATTTTCAAGCTTCAAGCTTTTCCTTTATCAATACGTGATGATCCATGAAACAAAATCAATGTTAACATCTTTTGTTTTACACTTTTCTTCATTACTTTGTTTCATTATTCAATCCCATTATCACTTGTAAATTTTCAATCCCATTATCAGTTTCATGGTCTAATTGTGTGTAAAGCTGACCTGATTTTTATTGAATTTGATCAGAATTTTGTTTTTCCTTTTCTTTTACTTCAAAGTTTACCAAGTTTATCGCGAAAAATGAATGAAATTAACATTTTGATCAAATTATTTTATCCTTTTATTTCTGTTTATTCCATGATTTATCATATCATTAACAATTCAACTAATGAATATTAAATGCAATCAAAATGATGTTGATTCTTTAATGTAAAATTATTTCATTTATGGTTTGATTTACATTTTAATCAGTTAATCTTTTTCAAAGTTTTTCTTAAATCTCGTCTCATTACAATATAATGTTGAAGCTAATGATGGCTATCAACTGGAAAAGCTCTGTCTATTCAGTAAAATGTCTCAATTACTGTATAATTGCAAGCACAAAGCTAATTTATCATGAAACCCCAGAATCTTAGAGATAAACTCATCTGATAATAAACCGTTTAATCCTCTTTTTACCATTTCATCTTCTCGGTCTTGATTGCAAATTGAGCATTGCTTTTTTGGCAATTTCTTGGGTTCAAGAGAAGAACAACAAAAGATGATAATGAAGATTCCCTGAAAACTCACCCAATAAGCTCAATCATTCCAATTTTTCCTTCAATGATTAACAGCAAATGAAATCAAGTAGAGATGTTGAAGCAAAAAAAAGATTGATTCGGTTAGTTGTTGACAGCATCATTAATGATAATCATTTCCATGATGAACATAATTTCTATTTAGATTAAATCACGAAATTACACATTTAAGCCTCTTGGTTTCATCAATTGTAGACATACGGTGAAAGAATTTTCCTTTCAAAAATGATTAATGTTTACCTGGAAAGACGGTTTATGAAGATGCTAAAGTGGAGGAGTTTCATGATTACCGTTTTCTTGATGTACATTGAGAATCACGTTTGATTGAAACTGTCATTCCTGTCAATTCCCTGTTTATTTTCACCATGTTTACCTTTTTTTTCACCGCATTCATTTATTGAATTTTGAAAATTCTCCTCATGCTCAAAATTACTTCGGTAAACTTTAAGCTCTGATAAACCTTATTTGTTATTGGCAAGCATCGTCAAGACAAAAGCTTCTCAAGTGTATCTAATGAATGTGTGCCTTTAAATGGCCAAAATATCGTGTTCCAAGCGTACAAGGAAGACGAATCGAAAGATTAAGATGAAGTATTGGATAATGATTATTGAGTCTCTTGTAACTTAATAAACAAAGCTATTTTTAAGGATAAAATAATTTCCAATAAAATGCTTTTCCTTTCTTCCAAATCAATCATTAATCAACAAGAATAGCGCACTAAAGAAACGACTTTTTGTGTTGTCCAAATTAATATTTCACTTGATCGATTATTTTTCATTTTTCAACCAAAAAAAGTTGCAAAAATGACCGATTGAAAATCAATTTTCATTTTAACAGTTTTTTTGAAACTCAATTTTATTCAATGACCAACTTCAATCCAACATTAATATCCGAAAATAGTTTTGATTTTCATTCGGACTTTATTATTGAATAGTGTCTCGAAATTGCGAGAATGATCATCAACTAATTGTCAATTTATCTTCATTTTTTTGTTTATCAAATCTGTGGATTTCCAATGCAATTAAGCGTGAAAATAAAGGTGATTTGGTTCATTTTGAAATTGCTTTTTTCATGTTTACGCTCAACTGTTCCAACACGCACTGATAAATTAGATTGTGATTGTATTTTTGATCAATTTTTTGATAATTAATTATCGATTTAATTCCCTTTCTTTTGCTCAACTCTGACTGTTTATCTGGAAATCTGAAAAAAGCTATTTAACTGTAAATGAAGACCATCAATTATCGAACCCTATTCAAGTGATATTGGATGAAAATTTCAATTTACTCAACACTTAATTGAATATGGTTTTCTTGAATTAAATTTACTATCAACTACCATTCATCAGTATTAGTTTTTACTTACAAATGTTCAAATTAACTGTAACAAATACAAAAGCTTGTTTACATTTCGTTTTCCTGATCCTAATTACTTCTCCGTCTGTCTTCAATTGAATTAATTAACAATGCTTTGATTCATTTAAAACTAATCATTTATCTGTTTCTCTTCCTCTTCACAGTCATTATCCATTCAAGAAAAATGAGCAAGTTTTATCGTTTTTTAATGATTTTGATAACTATTTAAGTGAAGAAGCAATTTGGCAAATATCGGAATCAATCAAGCCCCGTCTTAATAATGGAAACTCATCAAACAATAACTCATCTCCGGAAAAGCCTGCATCGAATGTTAAAAAATGAAAATCGTCTTTAATGGTACCATTTATGCATGGTAACTCAATCGATACTCAGAGCTGTTGTCTCAATTATTGATGAATTACAAGAAAAGATGGTTGGCTAATGGACAAAATGAAACCAAATGAAAGTCAATCAACAATCACAAGACAAATCAAATTGTAAACAACAGAGATTAAATGTAAATCTTTGTTGTCATCTAATTTTACGTAAAATTGGATTCACAAAGCATTCACATTGCTAATGATGCCGTTGATGAATTCAATCATGATTATAATTATGAGGAAAACATAGCTTTATTGTGAAATTATATACGACAGAGAAGTGAGAAAATGTAAAAGCTTTCATGTTAGATGAGCTTATCCTAGTAGACAAAGGATATCATTTGTAATATTTTTCAACCACTTGTACGTTCAATTTCATGACTAGATAGTGAAGACTGTTTATGGTTAATCTTTTTTGTACCATTGATTCATCATGATTGATCATCAACTCACCATGAAGGCTTTCCTCTAACATCTGTGAGTGTTTTACGTCAAAATTGTGACAATCTTAATCAACTCGTTTAGTCAATTTACCTCGTCAATCACCGTTATGGAAATAATTTATATTTAAATAATGGAGTCACCATTGACAATCAAACTCACAATGGAAACAATTGATATACCAAATGATGTCTTTTTACCCCAATGATTGGAAAAGAGTTGAAAATCATTGGGAAAATTGTCGTTTATTATCATATTTTACATACCCAATATTAGCCCAAAACACTTTAAATGTAAATTAATATTCCGTCTAAATTGATCAAATTTATATATTGTCAGCAATCGTATGTAATCTTGTCAAATATTGTTTCATCCCCAACCTTTGCTGGACAAAACCTTTCCTTTTACCCTTTTAATGGTACAGTTTAATAATATTGTAAACTGATATTTGACTAAAGGTTAATGACAACAAATTATAATTATCGTAATTGTATGTAAAATTGATAAATCTATGTAATAATATCCCATGAATAGGGATAAACTAAAAATGTAAACCATGAAGAAAGCATGTTTAGATTGTAAACATGCCTTGAAATGTGGCCCAAAAAGAAAATAATACAATTAATTGTTTTCTATCGCAATCAATTGCCATTTAATTATTTTCCGTGTAAATTGAAACAATCAGTCAATCAGTAAATCAACACAAATGGTTAAACATTTAACTATGTTTACCCAACAAAAGTCAATCTTGTAAAGACAATTTAAAATCTGCTTTTCTCCTCTTTTTTTGTTCATTGAAGGCTTTATTCAAAAAAATGCTCAACAATAGATTTGATTGTCTAATTGTTCAACTAATTAGTTTTTGTTAAATGCTTCTAATCTCAACAATTCAGTGTAATCAAAGTTAACTCATTGGCAACCAATCAACAACCTAAATTAACCCAAACAATGAGAGTCTAAAAAAAGCAAAATCAAGGTTGAATAGTTGAACAATTTACTTTACAATTGAAACTTGGTTTTACCTCAATTTTGGTCTTTTTTTTGCTGGTTACCTTTTCCTAATGGTCTAATTTATGCTCAATTAATGTTGACTCTGTTTAATGTTCACCAACAATTTAATTACTTTAAGTGTTAATCAACTCTTGTTGTTTCAATTTTAATAATTGAACCTTTCCTGTGATAAATAGAGACGAGTGAAGAAACTGGGAATCCAAAGGAGTGAGGAAGGCAGAAAAAAGTGGAATCAAAAAGACCTAAAAAAGGTAGATTTACATTTTTAGGTGAAGTTAATTGTTGAAAGTTAATGTTTTGTTTTTTTCGTTGAGCATTTTTTTCTCCTCTGGTTCATCATTGGATTGAAAATGATGAACATCAACGATTAGGTTAATGCATTTTGAAAGGCAAGTGAAAAACAGGTAACAGCATCATGTGAGAGGCAAGGGTGACAAGTATTCAGTGACCAGGGCGATAATAATACATGAATTATCAACCTTGCATGAAATGTTGGAAACAGAGAGTTTAAACAATGTTATTAGAAAGGTTTAATAATCTTCTTGATAATACGGTTCAACTAATTTACTCTTGATTGTGCATTACAATACGTGATTCAATCAACATTATAACCTCTCAATTAGTTGATTCACCCTCAATATGGATAACAAAATTGTTACCTCAACATTTCACTTTTCCAATAATGATGATAATCATTCTAATTTTCAACCAACCATTCAACTTCATTTCAATCAACATTTTTAAATATCATTTCCACAACAATTAGACATTTCAAATTGTTTTTGTATTTCTATCGATTTTAAAGGCAAATTCATTTGTTACAATTAAATGGTCCAATTTTTCAATCAATTTTACAGACTTTATTAGTTCAATCGATTGATCAATAATTTGCAACAATCAAGTGGCCAATTAGTACCAAATTGAACACACATTTTGTCTGATTAAATTTGCTTTATCCAAAAGATAGACTTTAAATAACGTTAGTCAATTTAAATTATTACTTTCCAAAAAATCGATTCACTCGACATAAACAAGGCATGAAAGGCATTCTTTGACCTGACAAGAGTGACTCTCTTAGGTTAAATATTCATTGGTAAGAGTCTAAGAAACACTTGGTTGACCGGGAAAGATTAACTTTGTATATTGATTCGAGAAATGGTCGATTTGATCAGTAATACATTTATTTTAAGGTCAAATAGTCATCTAATAATTTACTGAAGACTCGAAAATACAAGATTTTCAATTTAAATTTGCAAAAAATACTTTTTCCAGAACCGTAAATTTTATTGAAATTACTAAAAATCTTTGCTTTTCTCGACAATTTGCTCAGTCTGCACTCCAATGTTATTTTTGGGTTGCGAAAAAATTCTGTATTTTATTCAACAAGTTGCAGCTTTTTCTGAGAATCTTTTACAAAAATTTATTGGGTTTATTTTATTTATTAACAGGTCGACCATTCCTCTGGAAACCGGTTGACTTTTCCTGGTTCATGCATAATATTCACAGTGCAGTCACTCATGTTTATGATTTTTAATGTTGTCGACTTGGAACAAGAGTCAAAATAGATTTTAATTTCAGTGGATGGTCTTCAAAAGCTGGGCAGTGGTCTGGTTATTTACGATTATTGTGTGATATACACTTGCTGTCTAATAGAAAACCATTTAAAGAATAATGTCTAACTCTGAATATGTTTACTAATCAAATAGATTTAAGTTTTGTCGATCAAAAATTGATCATCTAATTTACTTAAGGGCAATCCTTTATTGTGACAAACAACAACCAACAGCAAATATTAATGTCCAGCCTAAGATGATGTCTCGCTGCTTCCATTGTCAACTGGATTTTCATCAACAATTTTTTCTCTTTCCATCAATTTCGAGTTCGAAACACGAAGCAGTAAAAGAAGACATACATTTATCTATTTGAAAGCTTTTACTCGCATTGATCAATAATTGATTATTATATAAGAGAATGATGAAAAAATAATGAAGAATAAAATAATGAAAAAAATGAATAAAAGCAAAACCTTTTACCTACAGTTTACCTGTGCCGAAATTAACCTCAATTTTTCAATGTACCGTTTAAAGGCTTCATTTGCTTAACAAGCTTTTTCAGATTCACGTTTCAATAATAATTAGCTAAAATGATATCAAAAATATGATCAATAAACAAATTTCAATCGAAAATGCTATCGACTCATTCAACAATTAATCAACTTTATTATTGCAATTGATTATTTACATTTATTTACATTATCACAGGATTGTTGTTAAAGAATTGGAGTTTTTTTTAAAAAACGGATTAAATAGTAATGCTAAATTGATATTGATTTTGTGTGTTTCATTGTTACTATTTACAATCGTCTCAAATGATCTTAACAATAATCATTAACATGGGAACAACGAAGGTTACTTGCAATGGATTAACATTATTATCCAATTGTTGGCCATTCGAGTCTTTGATTCCTCTCTTTTTGTCCCTCGAACGAGTCTCTTTAAACTTGCGTCCAGAAATAGTTTGATGTGAATCAATCGAGTTTGATGATAACTCACCTCGAGTTGAATCAATTTTATTGTCCATCAACTCATCTGAATCGTCTTCAGGTTCATCAGTTTCTGTGTAAAATAAAATATCAAAATGCTTATTAATGTACAACAGTTTAATGTTAATCGGAAAAAGCAAAATAATTGATGAAAAAGGACAATCATTTTGAATGCAAGTTAATAATTGTCAACATAAGTTGATTTGGACAAAGTTTCAAAATTATTGAGTCGACAAAAGCATTAAAAGTTGATTGTTGAAACTGATTGCTAATTTAATTTAAATAATGTAATTATTTTTGCTTTTGTTTCTTTTTCTTCCCTTTCTGTGTGTAAATCAATTGTTATTTTACACGAAATTTTACATCAAATTATCAATTCATTATTAACTTGAAAATGATTTACTTTAATCTGTATTTGGTTAATGTAAAGGTTTAACGAGAATTAAAAAAAAGGTTTGTTCAAATGAACACTTTTGTGATATAATGTGTGCCATTAAACTGTAATTGCTATTAACATGGGACATCAGCTAATAAATTAACTTAATCGAGTCTCATTTGGAACATAAAAATGTCACCTTTTCTGTTTCATTTTAAAAATCTTTAACTGTTTGATTGTTTAATCAGTTTAAAGCTCAACTAGACAATTGAATCAAATTCATCTTCAGGTAATTTGGTAATGAATAGAAATAAATTTCTTGTTATTCTGGTGGTTATTGGAACTGAATCAATAGAGAAACCTTCAACCGATAAATCAAGGATACATCAGAGTTGCTTTACGCTTCTTAATTAACTAATGTAACCTTATAATTAGCTGATAATGTCTATTATTAGTTACTCGATGTTAAATATGGTGTAGCGATTGTTGTTATTGTGTAAAAAGAAGATGTTGAATTGAAATGTTACTTCGATAAACAGCTCTAAGAGATCAAACTATCTTTGGAGAAAAGTCAGAAAAGTCGATCTTTCGATTTTTTCTCATTGATGTATTGTTTTTGGAAGTTCGTTTCAGTTCTTGGAATGGATTAGAGACATTGAAGCATTCATTCAATCAGTGCACTAAACAATTTGCAAGTTTAGAGATATTTAATTATGGATAAAGTTTCGAATAGAAATTTGAAAAGGCTCTTCATTGATTTTATTCAACAGTTAGGTCACCGGCGATTATTTCAACTCAATTCGCTATAAGTCAATTAGCTACATGTAGCATGTACATGTATCTACATGTAATATTGAGAGCCTTTCAAGGATAGCTGATGGTCAAATTATTAGGTCCAGCCAAGGTAGCCTCATCATGCATTTGCTCTGGCCAATTACTTTAGTTATTCGAGCAAAGTGCAATGTAAAAAGTATTGCTAAAGACTCGAGAATGGACCTACAGTCATCATTCTTTCACCAATTCCCTTGTTCACTGATCAATAATCAAATTAAGTTTTATAATTTATCACTAGCACATTTGGATATGATGTTTGGGCTGTAAATGTGCGAAGCAACAACCTTTCTAACAAAACAAACTCATCTCAACCCATTTCTTGGTAAATAAACCATTTTTCTGGTTGAAGTTGCAAACAGAATGCAAAGAATGCTGCAAAAGGCTCGAACTTTTCAGTAAAGAGTTGAGACTTGGTCGGTTTGTAGGGACAGAAAAACTAAACAAATTCCTGCTATTAAATAATTTGACAGATGGACAGTTTTTGAGATAATCGAGGCCAAAATTGAAACTTTGATCGCCTTTTCTTAAGCTATGGAAGCAGATTTTTTCATGCAGCTCACATCAAAGATGTAACTTTTGATGAGCAATCAGAAAATGGTTTTATTTTGAGATATAAGTTTTTAAATTTCTAAATAAATGTTAAAAACAAATCAAGTTCGATTTTTAGTTAAACCTGTCGCATTTTGTGACCGTAATATTTAGAGAACTAAAACTCATGGTTCGTTGATAAGTTGTTATTACACATCTTGAGTTCAAAGCTTCTTTCAATTCAACCAACAGTTCTCTTAATTTTGGCCATTAGGCTAAAAACTTTGGACCTCAATATCCCGAGAACGGTATCACCTACGATCGTCATACTTTCACGGAACATTAGATTTCATTATGGGCTATAACAATATTTGACTTAATAACGAATCAAATCTAATCTAATTCATTTAATGAGGAATATTCTTCTAACGCATCAAACTTGTGTTTGGTAACCAAGCAACTATGTAAACTAAGTCTAGAATCTGACAACGCAATTAATAAAATGCTATAACTTTCTTTGTATCATCTTAAATGATTTAAAATTTCATTATATTATAGCCCATTTGAATATCTTGTAATTAGTTGAAGCGTGTTGATCGTAGGTGATGCCATTCTCAGGATATTGAGGTCCAAAGTTTTTAGACTAATGGACAAAATCAAGAGAACTGTTGGTTGAATTGAAAGAAGCTTTGAACTCAAGATGTGTAATAACAACTTATCAACGAATCATGAGTTTTAGTTCTCTAAATATTACGGTCACAAAATGCGACAGGTTTAACTAAAAATCGAACTTGATTTGTTTTTAACATTTATTTGAAAATTTAAAAACTTATTTCTCAAAATAAGATCATTTTCTGATTGCCCATTAGAAGTTACATCTTTGATGTGAGTTTCATGAAAAGATCTGCTTCCATAGCTTTAGAAAAGGCGATCAAAGTTTCAATTTTGGCCTCGATTATCTCAAAAACTGTCCATCTGTCAAATTATTTAATAGCACTAATGGGTTTAGTTTCTATGTCCCTACAAACCGATCAAGTCTCAACTCTTTACTGAAATGTTCGAGCCTTTTGCAGCATTCTTTGCATTCTGTTTGCAACTTCAACCAGAAAAATGGTTTATTTTACCAAGAAATGGGTTGAGATGAGTTTTGTTTTGTTAGAAGGGTTGTTGCTTTGCAACATTTTACAGCCCAAGCATAATATCCAAATGTGCTAGTGATAAATTATAAAACTTAATTTGATTATTGATTAGTAAAGGATTGAATAGATTAAAGAATGATGACTGTAGGTGATGCCATTCTCGCAATATTCAATCCCGTATTCACCTCAAATTTGTTGAAACATAAAAAAGCAGCCTAACATGTCCAGTTTTGAGGTGAAATTAGTAAATTGCAAAATATGCAAATTGCTCATTTCAATTAAAACTTTCAGCTTTGTAATAATTCTACATTCATGTCCAAATGAATGTTTGTTGCAATCAAATCAACTTTGGTCATTTCACGTCAACCCTTTTCAAAGCTCGACAGTTGCTGACACAAAATTGAATGAAATGAGGTTTGAGCCAAATTTCAGATTCCAAAAGAATTATTTTCTTCTCAAATTTAATTCTCATTTTCAGGGGGAATTTAAAATTAACTTGATTCCTGAAAAACATGTCCATATTCAGATGAATGTTTTAAGACACGATTTTTCAGAACATTTCAAGTTAAACTCTTCTAATGCAATTCACATTCTTAATTTTTCCTTGGATAATAAATTATCATGATTAACATGATCATGATAAGAGAAGGAAAACAATTGACATTGATTGATTCACTTTATTTCCACTTGAAATGATAAATTCAATTAAAAATCTTCTATTGTATTACGTTTTATCAGCATTTCACTATTTTTTGCTCATTTCCTTAATTTATGCATTGCTTGCCCTGGCAACACATTTGTTAACATTAAATATTGAGTTATACTTTTTTTGCTTTCAAACAAGATTCCAAGTCGTTTGGATGAACATTTCATGAGAGAAACTTTCCTTACCATTCAGAGTAATTACACCTTCATGGAAGCCCAGGTTGTTACGGGCATAACACCGATAATCATCATAATCATCTTGCTCCAATGAACTTATCTTTAATTGGAAAGTCGATTTGTACAGTTTATCAATACTTTTGATTAAATATTTTGAGCTAGATTCAGGTAACCTTATATTATCCACTCCTTTGGTCCAATACTTTTCAGTTATGGGAAATGCCTCAATGTGACAATTTAAAATAATTGAACTTCCAACTGATCCTTTAACAATCCTATTTCCTATCCAAATAGTCGGAGCAACTGGAAAGCAAAAACAATGAAAATTAAATGCATAAACAAAAGACTGAGAACAGAAAATGAAAAATATTTAAATTTTCCAATCTCGAGATTCCAAATAAATTTAAATAAATTTGAGAATTGAAATGGAGCCGAAAATTCGCTCAACTTTTCCATTGGAATCATTTCATCGAATCGAATAAAATGTCGAATCAGACGGACATTAAAATCGATCTGATCGATAGAACTGATTTGATCTCAAAGTTTCATTCAATAAATATTAGGCAAACTTAACAGGTTAATTTTCATTCAATGCTATGCATCAACGGATAACATTATCGAAACAACAGATGGCTGATCTTTAAATGACAATGTATCAATCTCTTGACGATAACTTTGGTGATTCGAGTAATTTCATCCCAATAAGAACATTGGACTGAAAGTTTTTTTGCCTTTTTTGTTCGGTCAACTGTTCTGTGCTGATTCGACGAAGATGGTTCGATGATTAGATTAGATGTTAGATTTGCATTTACGAAGAAAATGATAAAACCAAAAAGCTGGATATGAACTTACGCGAATGGAAACAAAACATTTTTGATGAGTAAAGTTGAATCTAATAAAGATTCACATTATTATACAAATTATTGACTTACAATTAACATGGAGTTGAATTCTTCTTGAAATGGCTGGTGGAACCCCATTCGAAGCAATACAAAGATAGACTCCCATGTGAATTCTGGTTACTCTTAATATGGTTAAACTATCACCAGCTATGCTACGAACTGTTGACCAAAAGAAAGAAAAGTGTTAACTTGATATTTAATGAAATTGTTTTTTGTCTCTTCAAAACATTCGTTTTCAAAAACCAGAAAAGATGATTGACCGAAATTGACCTCTGATTGATTCAAATGGTTTTACAGCTTGTTGGAGTTAATGAATTGTCATTTTACTCTTTTCCTCTTTCTCTTTGACCATCATTTGTAGTGGACAAAGAATGACAAAAACAACAAAAAGCTGATAATTAATATGAGCAAGTTGATCGAGTTGAGGATTGAGTGAAGCATAAAATAGTAACTCAGTTTATCACGTAAAGTGTAAAGGAAAAAGTGAATCCAATTGAAGATGAAACAATATGATGGACAATATAATTAGACAATTAGTAATTATACACAATTTAACTATAAAAATAAAAGGATGCATAAAATTAATGGTTATCATGTTATTAACATTGTTCATTTGATAATCAATGAAACAACAATGAAAGCTGGAATAGAGAATTGAAAATGATTTCACATTTTATTTCAACCATTAATATTATATTTATCATGATAATAACAAGAACAATAATCATCTGGTTTGAACTGTTTGAATATGAGATGAAGAGAAGAAGAAGTTTAATGAAAATGAACTTCGATTAGCAAACAATCATTGATTGTAATTGTTTCAACTCTTGAAATGATTTTTGTTAACAAATGAGATTCATTCATCATATTAACAGGAATCAATCAGCAGGCAAGTTTTGGAAAAGGTAATCATAATAACAACAGGAATAATTGAGAGGTAAAAATACATGGAAATAAATTGATTGTTATAAGAATAAAGTTCAGGTAATAATAGGTTATTGATTGGACAAGAGAATCAAGATCAATCATTATTTCCAGTTTTTCAATTGTTTGCTGTCTTTTCAGGATTACTGGTATTTGGGTAAATTAATGATGTTACTTGCCTGAATATTTTTTATTATGATCTTGAAATATAATCTCCGAGTTGTCCTCTCGTCTCCATTTAACACTTGGACTGGGGTTGCCTTGAGTGTAACAGGTCAGGGTTACATTGTATCCTTCGGTTACCATTTGATCCCAGGATTGGTTGCTCGGTTCAAACCGAGGTGGAACCAGGACGTCAAGGAAACCCACTTGGCTCTTCATTGGGACCGTGTTTATTTGGCACATGTAACCTCCGCGGTCACTCTCTTGCACATTCTTGATAACCAGCACAAAGGAACGGTTCTCGTGTGTAATCAAGCTTAGTCGATAATTTCGACTTATGACGTGCTGATGTATCGTTAAAATGCCCTTATCCTCGACCCTTAGCCAAGCAGCCTGAAAATTCAATGAAAAGTTGAAAAAATGTTTACTTTTAGGAATAAAGATGCACCTTTTTGAAAAAAAACAGTAAATGTCTTTGCTCCATCCAACTGTATTGAATAAACCGAAGATTCAGCAAATACTTATTTCATTGTTACAATATTTAAGCTAGATTATTGATTAGTATTTCATGGTTCAACTCAAAACCAATCTTTAGCTGCAACTCCAGAATTCTGTCCATTTCGATGCCGATATAAAATAACTAAGCGAGCCAAACATGTAACTAAAATCTCAAAAAATCTAATTATGCATCCTTCACAATTCCGTAAATTATAATAGCTCATCTCATCGAAATGACTTGATTTTTATAAGCTAAGTGCTATAAGCCTTTTGACCAACCTAATATTATTGAAGGATGAGTTGACTATCAGTTTAAATGAACAATTGACTCATGAATAGAGACCGTCAGTTCAACATGCTTCTGAAGTAGATGAGATCTAAAATGATCGAAAGGATGCTAATTAAGATGACTGAAGTCGATTTGAATCTAATAAAGTTTGTATTACATCGATGACACTCACCGACTGTTTACTCAAAGACTGAGTTGATTATTATCAGTTTATTTTGCATTATTATTGCATCTCAATGATAGCACTAAAAACTGTTTCAACTGACAATTGATGGCTACATTTGATTCAATGCTAATATGAATTTCATTTTGTGCAAACATCTCATCATTATTGATATCAATATTTCACCCTCCCTTTCACCTTTAATCAATTTATTCAGTTTCTTTTTCTGTTCAATTTTTGCATCGTTTACCATTTTTTTTGTTCAATCTTTCTTTTTTTTGTTCCGATGTATCCCTTCAATGATAATCTATTGTGAGTGAACCTTTGACAATCAAGGTAAATGTGATTCGCTGATGTGATCATCATTGCGTGTTCAATTCCTATCATCAACCAAAATCTCAAGATAAATGAGTAAGACAATAAATATCGTCTTCTGCAACAATTTTTTGCTCAACAATTTTTTGCTCTTCCTTCACCATTCCTCAGTTACACTGTTATCTATCTTGTCTTCCCATGAAATCTCCTGAGATAGACAAGTGTTTCAGCCATTGTGTTGGATAAACAATTTCAACAATTTACTATTAAAAATCATCAATCTGCCGATTCATGATGAATTGAGCATTTCACAATTTTCATTCTTTACCAGAGTAAATATGCTTTTCAATCTCACAGAGACAGATCAACATTCCCAGACTCGGCGAGCGAACAGAAAATAACAAGAAAAAAAAGTCGAAAAAAAATATTGCAAATAAATTCCAATCAATCTTTATCTCTCCATTCAATTAACCTTTCACCAGTGAATCGTAAATATCGATGAAACATGAATGTAAAGTTGAGAATTGAAAACTAATTGATTTGAATGGAAAAAAGAGTTTTTCAGGGGAAAATTGATGAAACAAACAGATAACTTTTTCGAAATGTACAAACATGATTAACACCATTTCAGGTCAGGAATTAATGTATTAATCATTTTGCTTTTTTCCCTGTGAGTTCATTGGAATATGAATTTATTTTTCCTGTTTTCAACTTTTTCTCTTCACTTTTCAGCCTTTTAAACCCAATTCTGCCAATTTTATTAATAAGAACTGAATCTGGCAACTTTTTTTACTCGCTCAAAATTACTCCCATTATTAACCATTTTTGCTTTCAACTCTTTTTCCTTGCTCAACATTTCTGTTATTAAACATGAACCATGAGCATTCCTGATTATTGTTACTTCAGGTTATCCATGAATAGTTATTCATCATTTGATAACGTCTGACATAACGTGATAAAAAAAATTGAGCCAAATGTTAAAAGGGAAAAGTGAAAAATAACGAGAAAAAATGGGGAAAAGTAATGAAAATAATTCATTTTTTAAACCTTTTTTTGCCAACTTGAATATCATTTTCAACAGATAAATGTTCACAATGGTATTGTTGTTGTTGTTTATTTGGTTAGTTTAGTAAAGGTTAAAAAGCCTTTTTTTCTGCTTCTTTGTATTTTCATATCAATAAAATATTTTATTATAACTTTTCGGTAAAGAAATTTAATTTTAAATTGAGAAGGAAAAACAAGGCAAGAAAACTATTGAATCTCAGCCAAAATTTGTTTACTTTGTTCAAAATGAAATAATGTAATATCGTAGAGATATTGAAAGCCTCTCAAGCTTTTACTCTTATTCAGATAAATATTATTGTAAAGAGGATGGTTTTTTGGAGCACCAAAACAATCGACAGAAAATTTGTACAAATTTTCCATGATATTTCGTGAATTCGCAGAATCACTAAAGTTCTAGATTATCGACAGTTCGGCAGTTTTGCCCAATTAAGTACCATGAGTTTGTCCACCGAGTTGCTTGAAAAGTACATGGGAATCTTATCCTGGTGGCAAAGCTGGCCGTATCAAGCAGGAAGAAGAAATGTAACGATTAGTGCTGGGCGATTTTAGCGATAAAAGCGTTGCTTCAGTGATCATCGATTTCCAAGAGACAAACATCGATGTTTTTATTTTTCTGAATCACCTTTTACTATGTTATTCAAGAGCTTTTTTTGCTTGTTTTATATCACTTTAAACTATGCCTGGGACTTTTCATTAATGATGATGATCAATGATCATTGATTTTCATTGAAAAAATTGCGCTATAATCGATAATTGGAATTCGCATAACCACACATCACTAGAAGCGATTTCTTAAAGCAAAATAATTTTGTATTTGTTTTTAACAATAAAGAACTTTTCTTGGTTCGAAGTTTTGTATATCGTGCTTCAAGTATAAAAGTTTTTGAAATGCTACTGTTTACTAATATTTACTCGGATCATGCGAGTTAATGTGTCGCGTAGACTAACATGAGAAAATTTGCGAAAATAAATATAAATATTTAGAATAGAAAAGCACAGAATTTTATTTGCTAATCAAGATTAGAATGCTGATAATTTACTTGGAATTTCGTTGGGTACTGGGATTGCTGGGATGTTGTTGCGTGCTGACATTATAAAGCTCAAGCTTGAATTGATTTTTTACAATTTTAAATTCTTTGTGCTGGGAGTTACAAATTTTGTGGTTTGCTTTGAATTCATAAAAGTGGGAACTCTTGCTGCAAATCGACCATGAAAAGAAACTGTAAAAAGAGTAATTCTGCAACAATTATATTTGACTCTTTCAATTGTTCAACACATACAAATTAATTCCTTTTTTCCTTCCGTTTCAATTGATTAGCGTGTCAAGCTAAATACAAATTTACATATTCCAGTGTGAAAACTGTGCATTATTATATCCTTGAAGTTATTAAAGGAAAAGTGAAAGAAGAATGTTTCATTTCATCAATTGTTTCACCATGTTAATACCCTTGAGGAAGAATGACTTTGAAACAAGAGGAAAAATGAAATGCATAATAATGCAACAAATAATAAGTGATAAAAGTGTGAAATGATTATGATTATTATTGAAGCTGATTGAGTTGGTTAAAGATGAGAAGTAAAAGATTTCTCAAGATTTCATGTTTGTCACCCTTTCACTGCTCCAGGCTTGTATTCAGATTCCGTCAATTACTCAATCTTTTGTTCATTATTTGGTGAAGTTCACCATTTCAATGAGCAAGTCAAACTTATCATGATAGCAACCATCTTAAACTCATCTACAACAAGAGGCAAAAAAGGCATAAAACTGAATGTTTAAGGATGAAGCAAGTTACGAAGAAGAAAAGTTGAATTTAAAACTTTTCTTCTTTACTTTTTTCATGTTAAAACATTTATTAGACTTTGCTGTGTGATAACATTTTGACAGGCAAAATTGAACCGGAAACAAGAATGAAACGTCTGAATCCATTTGATGATGAATTGTCAGAATGTTAACACTTTCAATGTTCAAATTAAATTGATCAATTGAAAGCTCCTTTTTTTATCAGAAACATTTCTCTTGAAACTCACTTGAAACCAATTGAAAAGTAAACCCAAAACTGTTATCATGAAATTCATGTAAGGATTTATCTTGAATTTAGCCTTTCTCTTTCATCCTGTGGTTCCATTTTGTTATACCTTTTCGCATTCAATTTGTATCAATAAATGGATTGATTTACACTGATTATTGAAGAGAAAAACCTTTTCCTGATAACATTTAGATTTACCTTGTAACTACATCATGTAAAAAGTGTTTACCTGTTTCCAGTTTTAGCTTGCAATGGTTATATTCAATTTGTTTAAATGTGTTCAATCAATTAAATATATTAGCAAAGGTAAAAGGTGAGTTTTCGTCTAATATTTATTCGACTTGAAACTCTGTAAGAATACAAATTAACCAACTCACTTTGTATGGGCCCAATGAACTGACAAGGCAAGTCAACTGAGCATCACGGCCAACAGCTACAGTCAAGTTGGGAATCGGTGCCAAAAATCGAGGTTCACCATCATCTGAAATGGCAGCTAAATCTGCAAGAAAAATGAAAACGAATGAAACAAAATTTCGAAAAGTTTATTCTTTCAATCAATTTGAACTTTTGATTAAATTGAGTAAAGTTGGTAAACTTGAAACTTGTCAAAACTGGTTAACTAATGAAGCACTTAGACTCGATTAGAACTCAAAATTTTCTTGTTTCTTCTTCTTTTCAAAGTTAGTCAAAAAGTAACTAATTTTTGTTCAACTTTTCACTAATTTTTTTTGTTCAATGCAACATAATTGATTGTCTGTTCTGAGAATTGAAAGTTATTGAATTTGTGCGTAAATTGATTAATTAAAGGTGATACAAGTTGATGAAAAAAATGTTCAACTAATGGGTTGACAGTTGATTAATTGGCCAGATAAAAGTTGAAAGTTGTCTACAAAGTGAAGGTAAGAGACTTGAATAATGAAAAGATGTTGATTGTTATTATCATGATAATGATGAGATTGGGTTGAATGTATAGAGAAACATTGTCTCAATGGAAAGGAAAACAATAATTGGTTCAGAGTATTTCATTAGTATTATGATGAAGAGGATAATGGTGAGCAGCCAAGGATAATCATAATGATGAGAGAATAAGAAACAAAAGTTTCTTCCAGCAAAATGGACCTTCTTTCTCGTTCTAAGGTTAATTAGGTATCTTTTTTTCAGGCAAACATTATCAAAGGGTTTCCTTGGCAAAAAGTCGAGATAACAGTTTAGCTTTGATCTATCGCGATCATCATTTTTGTTCATCTTTTTTCGTAACATTTAGTCTGATAAATGATTTTCAACTTTCTACATTTTTTGCTTCTTCTTTTGCTTTCAACTCTTTTCAACTTTTTTACTTTTCCTTTTTGGATTGCACTTCTTTACCAACCTTGGGCTGTTCATTTGTAGAGTATTATAAGGTAAATGATGAGGATAAAGATGAGATGCTAGTGATGATGCTTGATGACAATAATAGTGAGACATTTTTCAAGATGCTTTCCAATACTTTGTTTTTCTCTTCATGTTCACCTGTTTGGATTTGCTTTACCATCAATTGTTCATCATTCTAGAGATTAATCTTTTTTTGTTTATTCTTTCTTTTCTTTTCTTTTTAGTTTCATTTCATTCAAAATTACCCAAGGCTATCAACAACTTTCATGGTATGATGTTGACTAATTTGATGGTGTTCAGTGTAACAACCAATCATGTTGTAAGGATAATGATGAGGAAAGGAAAAGTCAAATTGTCATTTTCAACATTTTACTTCTCCATATCTTTGTGAGAATGGTATGGTTATGAATTATAAAAAAGGGTGAAAGGGGGTCAATCTCGGTGGAATTTTTTCGACTTCAGATAGAGATTGATTCGAATTTCATTGAAAATAGTCTGATCTTGCAGTCGCGATCTCTCAGACAATGCGCTCAAAATCATTCAAGGTAATCCGTTATTAGACCTCTATTGACATTTAATTCAATCTGATGTCATTTTCTAAGAGTACAAAATAAGAAGAACCATTAGTTCGCGTGCTCAAGGTCATTCAAAGTCAATTCGTTATTTGACCTCGTATTGGAAGTTAAAGATCATTTTCTGAGAGTACAAAAATTTCAGATTGTTGAATGTTAGTCACATGTAGATAAATCTTACCATTGGAAAGATACTTGATTTTTTCATAAAACAGCTGGTTAACTGAACGGTATGTGAAAACTTATATCATTTGACCAGTATCATTAACAATCACGATGTAAAAATTTTTTACTCTAATGTCGATTTTAGGCCAAATTAAGGATTAAATTTGAATAACCCTGGTGGCTCTTCAATCTTATGAAGAAACAAAGAAGAAACTCAAGAAGCTCACGGTTGAAGTTCGAGGTCTATAACATCGATAGTTCGTCTTCATAACTCCTGCAACCAAACGATTAACCTAACGCTATGTAAACACTCATATCTTTCGGCCAGTATGAGTTATGAACATTTTAAGAAATTTTCAAAGCAACTCTTCAGAGCGCTGAAAAATATGACTTCAAAAGCGATAAGTTAAACATTGAGTTTCAAATCCAACCATTCACTTTACAGAAAACCAAATGTATGCTAAAAGTAGATTAAGGGAAACAAAAAAGAGAAATAAACACAACAACCAATAAACATAGAAATACTTTATTGAATATATTTTTCAATAGAAAATCATATTTATTTACAATTTTCAGTTTATCTTTAACAGCCATAATTTCAACAGCCTTTTTAAGGCTGGTTATCAGACGAATTCTTTCGCCAAGTCCCTGTGTTCCACATGCTATATCAGCATATCTGATATTCAACTTTTTGGCAATGATTTTTTCGATACTGCCAGGGCTTACTTCTAGGGGCACCAAAGGATCATACAATGTCATACAATATGAGGTATCGCGATGCAGGATTACTAAACGAGAGTGTGCTTTATCATTTTCTATACCATTGAAGCTGGCTGTTATTACCAATAGCTTCTCGCCAATCTTCGTACATTTGCGGGCTTCTCGCACCACAGTTGAGGGTGTACAATTTATGGACAGACGAGGGTCCCCAGTCCCAGCACCACATTTTCAAGTTAGTACAGCTGCAATATTTTTTCAGTATGGGAAACTTTGAATTACTTTTAATGACAGTTTCGTCATCGACAAAAAACTTGCATAAAAGAGTGAACACAGCATTAAAATAAACTGCATCAGAGTAAATGCCTCTGCCCTTTTCAATTGATTTGAACTTTTTCAGTAGGGAAGGTGTATTGACAGGGGTAACACTTGTATTGGGGATAGCTTTAACTGAGGTGATATCACGGAGGATAGGCATAGTGAGTATTATATCTTCGAGGTGTGTAAATCGAATACCCACCGAGCATTTTCAAAGTACGAACATTTTCAAGTTAGTACTATATTGCAATATTTTTTCATTATGGAAAACTTTGAATTAGTTTGAATGACAGTTTCGTCATAGACAAAAAACTTGCATAAAAAAGCTAACACAGTATTGAAATAAAAAGCATCAGAGTGAATACCTCTGCCTTTTTTGATGGCATTGAAGGGAAGGTGTACTGATAGGGACAACAGTTGGATTAGGTCAGGTAATTTACATCATCTTTTCATTATTGTTTGGAATCGATGCTGATTTAATCTGTTCAATTACATGCAATATGAATTCGTGAAAATCAAGGAGTCATACAATTGTTAGTGGTTAGTCTTTGAATAAATTAGTTTTTATCGCAAAATCAATCTAAAAAACGTATTTACTCCATTGCAATTTAATATTGTATTTGAAATTGAAATTTGACTTTATTTTCATCTGAATGAACTTTTCCTGTTTACAAGAAAGCAACAACTAAACAATTTGGAGGAATGAAAAGTCACAAATGTGAAAACGAAATTGACAATTTCAATGAAATTTGATTTTCATCAAATCCTATAACCTTGATTGTGATTACAAATGATGAAAATGAATATTTTGCCATTTGAAGGGAAAGAAGAAAACATGATAAATGAAGGAGAAAAGGACTGAAAAGAAGTGTTCAATGAATTTCAAGCAAACAAAAAAAGATGAAAAGTTATGAGTTTCGTAAAGTTGGTTATAATGTATTAATATGGAAGAAGAGGAAAGCAAAAGAAAAGAGTTTCTCTTTTATAAATAACATATCATTCAACTGAATATAAAGATTTACATGTAATCAAATTTCACTTTGAATCAGATGAAACTCATCAATCATAAATCATCATGAAACGCAGTTGTACCAACATAATCACCTTGAACGTTGAATTTCAACACTTTTATTGTCACCAAAAAGAAGAAGAAAAATGTCGAAATTGATGGTAAAATTTGATTCGAAAAACTTGAAAAACTTTTCCATGTTTATTAGTCACAATAATAATGGAAATTGAATAATCTTTTTCAATTGAATTTCTTTTGCTTCTCAACTTGAAACAAACAAATTTGCAGTGAAAATCATTTTTCATGCGATAAAATCGAAGAGAAGAAGAAAAAAAACAAAAATCTTGACCAAAAGTTGAAACTTTTTCGTTCTCTTGTTCAGAATTAAATTTGATTATCATTGAATGTGATTGATAATATATTGGAAAATAATGGACTTTTTTTCACCTTCGGTTTCCTTAATAATTGAAGCAAGTTCATTAATCAATTGATTGATGAGTTTGATTTGAAAAGCATTGGAAGGAGAGAAATGGCGAAAAAAGTAATTCATCTAAATGATATTAATCTGATGAGGAAAAGAGAGTCTTTTTTATTGAAATAAGTATTTTTTTCAATTTAATCTTCAACTTTTTCTTTTCTCTTTTCATCTCAACTCATGGACAGGGAAGGAAAGAAAGCGTAAAAAGGTTTCTTTGGGTAAAAAATTCTGGACAATTGAATCATTGACACATTGAAAGGTTTCTCAATTTGCCTTTTGTTGTGGAAACACTTTTCAACCTTTCAAAGGCAAGTCCAAGGAATGACAGAAACTTGTAATTGACTTGAAGATGCAGCCTAAAGATGAGGAAATTGAAGATGAAAAGATGGCGAGAAATGATGCAAAGTTAATTCATCAAGAGAAGAGTGAAAAAACAAAAGTCTGGTTAAAGTTGAATGAGTTTGAAACGAAATTTTCTTTTCTCATTGAAACCAAAGAAAAGATTATTAATATTTTGCCTGTCAGTTTGAATAAATTTGTTAAATGGTTGACCAATGAATTGACCAAAGTAAACGATAACTTACAATAAACTTCTTCTCATTATCTTACAACTCTTTCAGCCTTTTATAACCTTATATCAAATGGCAGTTCAAGTTATCACATTATTTCATCTCAATCCCTTGTGATTCAATAATAGGTTAGGAGTGAGTGGAAAAGGTAGAAATTTTTATTCCATCAACAATTTCTCATTCAATTTTACATTTGGAAATAAAGAGAGAAAAACTATCTTCTATTCTTGGCCATCTTCATCTTTGGAAAAAGAATGAAATTTTGCCAATGTATGAATCTGAATCAATCTGTGGAATGAA